GTAAATTTCTTCTTTAATTGTGCAAATGACCTCTGCATTAACATGATATATGCATCGTGATGTATGTTAAATTTTGATTAACTTACAGATGTCTCATCATTCACCATTACGAAACCATAGAATTTTCGCATTAATTATGCAAATTAGGTCATCATTTGCATAATTAGTATCTGTTGAAGCTCCGCCTGCCATAGGTTACATACATTACATGTATGTAAGTAGTATAATGTAAAACACTGTACTTATAGAATTTCCTCATTAATTATGCAAATAAAGTCCTCATTTGCATAATTTGCATTTAATTATGTACATCTCTCTCTCAGCTACCTACACACCAAAAATAATGAAAATATGTTGTTCCTGTCTGGACTTATTGGCTTTTAAACATTTCGCCAGAAAGTGCCCTGCAGTTCCAGAACAAGCCGCTAGGGGGCCCAAACTCATAAGACTTCTTCCCAAGCACGAGAGCTAACTTCCATCAAAATTTCATGACCCTAGCATGTCCAGATCGCGAGATATCGTAAAACACTGTAATTATAGAATTTCCTCATTAATTATGCAAATAAAGTCCTCATTTGCATAATTTGCATTTAATTATGTACATCTCTCTCTCAGCTACCTACACACCAAAAATAATGAAAATATGTTGTTCCTGTCTGGACTTATTGGCTTTTAAACATTTCGCCAGAAAGTGCCCTGCAGTTCCAGAACAAGCCGCTAGGGGGCCCAAACTCATAAGACTTCTTCCCAAGCACGAGAGCTACCTTCCATCAAAATTTCATGACCCCAGCATGTCCAGATCGCGAGATATCAAAACCGGAAGTTGCGCTGCAGTACCAAGGGAAGCCACTAGGGGGACCAAAATCTCATCATTTCCAGTTTTCGTCACACCCTACCAACACACCAAGTATGAAATCAATCCATCCAGGCGTTCTTGAGTTATCTTGTTGACCAACAGAAGGACGGACAGACAGATAAACACAACTGAAAATATAACCTCCATGACACATTTCATGGAGGTAATTAAGCAGTATCCAGTAAGGTCCGTCTGAAACATAAAAAACATACCTTATTCCTGGCCATCACGTCTGCCCCATGACGGATCAGAAGCTCACAAGTTCCGGTGTGGCCCCTATCAGCAGCCCTATGCAAAGGTGCGTCCTGATCCTGTACAGGGAGGAATATCAGGGTCAGTAGGGATGTGTACATCACGGACAACAGATAACACATTATATAAGAAACAGTATGAGGTTACGTACACGTACATTTATTCTCAGCAATATGAGCTTTGTGTGTTGATAGTGGTCAATGTATACAACTTTTTGAATTAACCTTGTCGCATAAATCATGTAATATATCAGATAACGATATACATTGTATGATATACATTTGTCTAACTAAGTTGTTCCTATGGACATTGTATCACAAATCGATCCCAGAATGTGCCAGCAAACTTCTCATTGGTTTTCCTTTCTCTCATAGCTATGGAAATAACTATGTGTACATGAGAATATAGCACTGTAAAGTTCCATATCCAAGTAACCAGAAACCAGTAAGGTCCGACTGAAGCATAAAAACCATGCCTTATTCCTGGCCGTCACGTCTGCCCCATGACGAATCAGAAGCTCACAAGTCCCGGTGTGGCCCTTTTCAGCAGCCACATGCAAAGGTGTGTACTGGGTCTGTACAGGGAGGAAGGTCAGGGTCAGTAGGGATGGATTCTTCACGGACAACAGTTATCACATTATGTACGAAACAGTATGTGGTGACGTACACGTACATTTCTCCTCAGCAATATGAGGTTTGTGTATTAATAGTGGTCAATTTATACAAAGGTTTGTGCAATTATCCTTGCCGCATAAATCATGTAATATATCAGATAACGATATATGATATACATTTGTCTAAGTTGTTCCTATGGAGATTGTATCACAAATCGATCCCAGAATATAATGTACAAGCAAACTTCATATCGGTTTTCCTTTCTCTTATAACTATGGAAATAACTATGTGTACATGTAGTTATTAACTTACTAGTAATATAGTACTCTATAGTTCCATATCCGTAACCAGTAATCAGTAAGGCCCGACTGAAGCATAAAAACCATGCCTTATTCCTGGCCGTCACGTCTGCCCCATGACGAATCAGAAGCTCACAAGTCCCGGTGTGTCCCCGAGCAGCAGCCCTATGCAAAGGTGTGTTCTGTAGCTGTACAGGGAGGATGGTCTGGATCAGTAGGGATGGATTCTTCACGGAATACACTTATCTATATAAGAAACAGTATGAGGTGACTTACACGTACATTTTTCCTCACTGCGATATGAGGTTTGTCGCCTAAATCATATATTCATATAATCATATAACGCAATATGATATGCATTTTTCTAATTAAATTGTTCCAATGGAGCTTGTATCTACTGAATTCCGGGAGAACTGGTGTGAGACGTGTTTAGGATTGTTTTTAACGTATTAAACTTTATAAAAATCGATCTCAGCTCTTTAAGAATGAGCAAGCAAACGTCATCTTGTTTTTCATCTCTCTCATAGCTAACGTTATGGAAATAACTGTATACATGGCCAATATCATATCTAGGTAACCAGTAGGGCCCATCCGAGCATTGTGTGTATAAGAAAAAAACGTGTGTGCATAAATCGATCCCAGATCTTTGAAGGCACAAGATAACTTCATCCTGTTTTTAATTTCTCTCATGGATATGGAAGTGACATATGTATACAATAAGTCATGTAGTTAATATAGCAGTTTGAATTTCATATCCAAGTAACCAGTAAGGTCCAACTGAAACATAAAAACCATACCACACTCCTTGCCGTCACGTCTGCCCCATGACGAATCAGAAGCTCGCAAGTCCCGGTGTGGCCTTCAACGGCAGCATCATGCAAAGGTGTGTCCTGGTCCTGTACAGGGAGGAATGTCAGGGTCAGCAGGGATGGGATCAACACGGGGATAACAGAACGATATCACATGGATAAGAAACAGTGCGAGGTGAAGTTCCGTCGATCACCATCAGGTCTGGGGATCTCCAGTTACATTAGATGTAAATAAACCCATCATATCGTGACAAGTTCAAACGTCTCATTTTATTTTATTTTATTTGGTAGAGCAAATACAAGAGCGCAGCGCCACAACGAATACGTAACATGTCTGAGGGACAAACCTAAGTAGTAAGTACAGATCCAGACGTATTAACTAGATTGACGAATAGTTTCCTCAATTAAACTTAAGTCAAGGTGATGTTGTGTAATATGATATAGGATATAGCATGGTGATCCAAACTACAATCACATTACAAGGGAATACGTGTGTGATATTAAGGAATGATAGTCGACTCGAAATACCTTCGTGCGTCTCTTCCTGCTGAGCTCTAATTAGACGATAGCCTGACTAAGTCGTATTCCTAGCGGTACACCCGACTGACAGACCCCGAGAAGGGGGATTATTAGCTCTGGCAGAGAGTCAGAAGTTTGTAGCATAACTTTGAAGTTAAGTTTCAATGGTACTATAATGGATCCTTGCACAAACGTTTTGGTTTAGTTTTATTCACACAAAAATTCGGTTGCACTATTTATTTTCATAGGCTATATACGTAAATTGTTTAATCCTTTGACTAGTCGTTTTTCGGCTGTGTCCTCATACGACCTTTCAAATAGAGTCTGCTACTACAGCAAGGTGATTAACAGTTCCGAATTCGTCTATGATGATAGATTAGATATATGTTAGACAAAACCTAAATACCTGTTTCTGTTGGCGGGGTGCCATGGCATATGTTCCTATGTGTGTAAAAACAAGTCTTTTACTTTTGAACCTTTATATGACACCTACTCATAACTAATGTGCTTCTTATCTCTTTGAATTGTATATAAAACATAATCTGAATGGTTAGAGAAACACCACAAGGGAACCATGAGTCACCCTGGCAGGGTTCAGGTCAGGAGAAGTCAGAACAGATTTATTTCTACTTACGTCATCCCTCGCCTCCAGATCAGCGCCGTGTTTGATCAACAGTTCTGCTACCGCAGTCTGCCCGTGCCCGCTGGCCACATGCAGGGATGTCTTCTCATACTGGATAGATCAACAGTTGGGAAACAATAACCGGTTACAAACTCACTCCACAAGCCATGTATTCACTCAACATGACATATCTTAACAGTTGTTTTACTGAAAGAAAATATACTATGCCGGATGATATGTAGTGTTGTTAGTTCTGTCCACCTGCTAACATATACCGCTTTTGTTCTGTTATGAGGGCTAGCCCTTTATAATAGCAACTGGTTAGTTGGGCAGTCCTGGCTGCGTATTTGTTTATACAGTTTCATAAATCAAATCAAATCAAATCAGAATCATCACTCTTTTTTCATTTATTTTGGTTGACACAAACGGTTTACGATATAGTCAGGTTTCTTTTCCTTTTTAAGTTAAAAACAATGTTCCTGATTGACTATATCAGTGTGTGTTCATCATTTTTCCACTTTAAAAAAAAACTTTACATGACACCTCCTCTGACTAATGCGCTTCTTATCTCTTTGAATTTTCGGTAAAACATAATCTGAATGGTTAGAGAAACACCATAAGGGAACCATGAGTCACACTGGCAGGGTTCAGGTCAGGAGAACAGACTGAGCTATTTCTACTTACTTCGCCCCTCGCCTCCAGATCAGCGCCGTGTTTGATCAACAGTTCTGCTACCGCAGTCTGTCCGTACCTGCTGGCCACATGCAGGGATGTTCGCTCCTGGGTAGAACAACAGTTGGGAAACAATAACCGGTTACAAAGCCACTCCACAAGCCATACGCTCAGTCAACATGACATATCTTAACAGTTGTTTTTACTGAAAGAAAATATGCAGGATGATATGTAGTGTTCTTAGTTTTGTCCACATACCGCTTTTGTCCCGTTCGTTCAATTCGGAGCTAGCCCTTTTATAATAGCTATATTATATACTTTAATAAATCAAATCAAATGAGAATCATCACTCTTTTGTTATTAGTTTGCTTGACACAAACGGTTTACGATAGTTAGGTTTATTTTCCTTTTTAAGTTAGACAATGTTCTGATTGACTATATCAGTGTGTGCTCATCATTCTCTGTTGCTTGCTTCGTTTTGCAACATTTAAACAATACAGCATACAAAGGTGCTATACTCGAGCAAAATGGCTATATCAACTAGTCTGGGTGCATTCCTCCGTCGTGTAATACCGCCGGCTCCCTATTGTCGCTGGCTCGGTGGGGTTATATATCAACGGCACCACTTAATAAATATCTGATATGTAAAACAGAAATGAGTAACGGGAACGTTTGATGTACAGAAACAGAGGTGAACAACTTCGAACTAAAGTCTGTATTAACCTTGCATGAACAGTTTGCTTACCCAGTTGTTCCATTTTCTCTTAATTGACCTTGACGTCCACCCCAGCGTCCAGCCCCCTCCTCACAGTCTGTACGTCACCCCTCTCCACAGCCCTGAAGAACTTGTCAAGGTCCATCTCCTCAGTACGTACCCACTGGGGACGACATGGAGCAAATGGGGTTTTGTAGAGCCTTTTTAACTTTCTTTTTATTGACATTTTCAAAACATATTCCACAGAACAGGTTTAAAGTATTTATCTAAGGTGATACAGTTTGAGCATGACAGGTAAACATGATTTGACCACACCTTTGGACCGCCTCTTGCGGCTTGCTTGTGTATTGTACACTGTTTTTTTATTCAGCATACAGTAAACAAAATTAGGGTACAGGACAAAGTGACGACGGGCTTAAGTTACGTAACTTATGTTAGCGCCGCCACTTATATGAATAAAACTAATATTACTAAACAATGCAAAACATTAACGAAGAATACATGTGAAAGAAGAACACAGTCGAACTGATGAAGCGAGAGTCCACATTCCCCACCCAAGATGAAAAGGACAGAATTAAAAACGTTTTGTTGCTAAAATGTAATTTTGGGCGGTTGACATAATGTTACGGTTAACTCGAAAAGAATAAACGGGGAACCGTTCAAAGTTGTTTCGCTCTATCCGGAAAGGGTGTGTAAGTTAACAGAGTGTCCTAAGATCCCAGAAAGTTTGCTGAGGAGTTCTGAACGGTGGAAGTTATGTAAAGGGCAGTGTAATAGGTAATGAGTAACTGTTTCGCACACTGTTTGCCCACAGGAACAACTACTTCACCTTGAACGGGTCAACAGCAATATCACAACGTAGTTTATCACCATGGTGAGGCAGAAAACGCCATATCTTCTCACGTTTTAGTTACTAAAGTAAAGTCGACGACAATCTTGATGTCAGGACGTTTTACAACCCAATGTCAGATATGCATGTACATATATGTACCCCTTATGTAACGTTATAGGTTCTGTTATAAACCTGCAGATACAGCCTGATCGATCCGACAGCTAGCTACAGCCGTTGGTGGTATCCCTGGTGCCGCAGTGGTTAGTGTTTTCCTGCTAAGTTCAACTCGCCGAATCTGAAGACCGGGCAAACCAAGAGCCCATGGTCCAACATGGCTGCCGCCGCCACATCACGAGAAGCAATTGCAAACAGGAACGCGAGGCTCTGGGGACTTTGAACCTTTATCACCAGATGAACACGCATGTTTGTCGTCTCCGTTGTTACTAAACCGTACGGCAGGTAATTTGGCGCAAATATCAAAACGCTCAGAGCCTGTCTTTGACAAAGTAACGTAAGATTAGGGAGTTGATAACAAACTAGAAAGGCCGACATTTGCTTTGGAGCAAATACAGCAATGGCTTCACCAAATTTTACGACATGGCAGGGAAAGAATGAGAAACACAAGGGAAAACAATGCTTTACATTGATATAACTATAGTATGAAGTAACATACAACTAAGACTACAACAGTTGGATAGCTATTCCCTACATTATTGGTTAGGATTTTTAATTGCATAATGCAAACTGTTGATTTTCAAGAAAAAAAGAAGTGTTCATGCCCCGCATTCCAATAATGGAGCAGGAAAGCTTGAAATACCTACCAAAACACTTGAATACAGACATACTGTCAGTATGGAATGGATCTGAGCAGGTATTAATTAAGTTAAGCCTGTTAAATTCCAACAGCCAATCAGCAAGGAGAATAGAGGAAAGCTGCATGCCTATTGGTTGATGCCCTGCATTCCATTGTGATGACTCATGCCCAAATGTGGTAACACTGCACACTAACTCAGTAATACATTTGCTATAACACAGCCAAAAAACTCAAATAAAACCATTCTAAAAGCCTGTATCACAAAAATTTAAAAAACGCCTAGGGGTATTTGCCCACTGTACCTCCATACCAAATTTCAGGACCTTAGGCCCTAAAATGAAGAAGCTGAATCCATTTAAAAAATGGCAGGAGAAGAAGGAGAAGGAGAAGGAGAAGAAACATCAGAAAAAGCAATATGGGTTCACCACCACTTCGTGGTGTGGTGAACCCATAATAAAGGAATTTCTTACTCGTTCTGAAACTTTACGCCTAGGCGTAACGTAATGCTATACGCTTTTAACGTTACCTTTCCATACCCGGTTCTTTTAACACGTTTGGAAGGAAAGTTTGCCTGCCAAATTTCTTAATGAAATTGCCAAAAGTTTCCCTTTCTCCACGCACGTCTCTGGCACTATTAAAAAATTCTACAAGCACTGCACTGCTGATGGGTTATTGCAAAGAAAGATGTCGCTGTTTTTTTACAAAAAGTGACCATCTAAATGTACCGTTTTATTGCACTCATTTTATAGCGTGTTGCTTACATATGCATAGTCTTTTCTTTAATTTTCCTGCCATCGAATGCAATCGGAGCGCCCTCATACGTGATTCAATGCATTCCCAGACTCTTCTTACATGTCTCAGCCACAGTATTAGTGGACTCAGAAACAAGGTATGAGGCTAGGTCCGTACAGGGTCCACAGTAGAGAAAGGACTGTCAACTAGTGTCTTCAAATGATACCATATGGTGTCACATATTGTCTAGGGGTATGCAATAGCATCAACACTTAAATTCACTGCAGCCACGGGATCTTTAACTCTAGGAAATTGACGGTCCACTCTAACCTCTATCAAATAAACCATGCACACAGCGCCCCGTGCATGGGCGCCACCTTGCGGTATCATTTCGTAAGGCAATTGATAAGTCACGTGACCGCCGCCATCTTCCTCGGGAAAGAGAAAGCTCGGTGTTTTTGTGTCGTCAGGCTGGTCACAAAATTTCCCAGCACACGGTTTTCTACAGACTCTGCACCATGTTTGGCGGGCGGAAGACAACCCCTACCTTCTCTAGACACCAGAGAAGGCGCCGTGCAGGGACTCTAGGCTTCCCCGAGGGGGCCTGTGCCCGACTAAAGTACCTTCCAGAGGGACATCAAAATGTCGTGCGGCAAGTCGAACTGGCGAAGTGCACCGGGCGGGGGTTGACTAGGGCCATACAGGTATATAAAACTAGATAGAAACACTACAAAAGCTCTTACCTCGCCGCCTGATGCCTCATCGTGTTGTTTCAGTTCTATATGGGTCACTGTTTTACCCACGTATGTAAACAATCTATTGACTCCGATCACCCCAAAAATATGGTCACTATTTTTTATTATGGCGAAAAAAATACTGGGTGCTTGTGTGCTGCAGATAAAATTTTGGAGCTGTACCAGGTATTTCTGATGTCTACCTGCACGTAACCTAGATTTCTTCTCAATTTGTTCCAGTCCAGTTTGGTTTTAACCCTACCTACCATCCAATCTGATACATACATAATAATTTTGGAATAAATTTGGATTAATCGATTGTTTATTATTGTTTGTTTGTTTGTTTTTATTACAGCTGTCGGCCGCCTTTGTTGAGGCCGTCAACACCCAGCAGAAGTTGAAGGACCTTCCCCAGATAGTTCGGAAGCTTTCCCAGTTCACCATCGGTCCATGGATGGACTACCACACCATATGTAGACTTCTCAAGGTACGGACCAATCAATCTGTCACTCAATCAATCAATTGACGAATCAAAATGGTTTACTAATCAAACAAGAAACTTTGAGCCAAATGCCAAATCAAAATAATGTATTTTTGACGGAATCCAGGTACGTTTACAGTACTTACAAATACAGTACTTACCAAATACAGTATGAAGTTGGTACATTTTCCAGTTTAAAACTGACATAAGTCATCATGCATACTGTAATTCACACTTTTTGTGGTACGGTTTACGTTTGTATGTTCAGAGTTTTGCGGTCACTTCTGCACCACAAACTTATCAATATCATGACCGTGAACAAATAATTTGCCGGCTTTTTTTTTCTGCACCTGCTGCCACCTCGAGCATATAATACATGTACCGTAGTTCCGTGAACATGTCCATTTTTCTCAGACCGCAGGCTATTTCAGCTGCTGCAAACATGAAGTGAATTACAGTAGTTTGGACATTTTTCTTCTGTCTTCAAGGCAATGTTTCACTTGGGTGATCAATGCTTCACATATGGTTCACGAGAAGAAGAAAAATTGTTGTTGTTTAGGAGCTCCGTGAGCTGCTGACAGCGCATGGTTTTGAGGACAACCCTGGAGTGCGGTGGAGTAACACCACACGTGCCTTCAACACAGAGGTCTTCGACGTGTTTGACGGGAGTCAGGTACGTTTGGACGTAACTAAACTGTCAGCTTAGAATATCGCCTGCATATTCGCGATTATTCCGGTTAGTGCAGATAAATTTGGAGTTCTGCAGGTATTTCTGATTAGGCCATGTTGATATGATTATATGGATGACATTTTCTTGAAACCTCAGAACTGATGCGAGCGTGCAAATAAAAAAAAATTGCTTTCATTATGGAATCATCGTTGTCATGAAGGTTTCAAACAAATAACTTAACACACGTCTAGAATTGTATGGAGAATAAAATTACAATCATAGACTCTTCATTTCCATTTCTCCTTTTCAAACTCCTGTATTATTTTTCAGGTGGTGATAGAACTTCTGATGAAACCCATGTTGTATCCATCTGAAGACAAGTCAGCAAGAGGTACTACACTAAACAGTACATCCTTCACTGTGATGTATCTAAAATTTAGTCTGCATGACTCTTTTAAAGTTCATATGGTGTGTTTATCACTTGAATCTGCAGTCTGTCATAGATGTATATGAAAGTTTGAAACTATTAAAAGAAATTTCCATGTACATGTACTTGTGTCACTGCACAGCTGCTCCTGTGAAAAATTCTAATCCACTCTTACTCTTAGGAAAATTTTCTGTTTCTTGTCCTACATAGAGCAGGAAAAAGTCCAGCGAATGCAAAACCTGTGTCTGGAGATCTTACACCATGTTTTTGCCAATGTGAGTATCTATTTATCTTTGATGATTATAAACCTGTTTATCAAAGATTTATCTGTTTCATGTTTCAGACTGTAATTGATATCAACATGCCATCATCATATTCAAAAGTGATGTTAAAATCATTCTCTGTGGCTTCTAAGCATTCTAAGCCTTTAAAACTCTGGATTGGCCTATTTCTCATTATAACAAATGCTTATTTTTGGCGACACCTCAGGAGCAGAGCCAATAGTACCTTCCTATTCTTTTGTCCCTGGCAGGTGGGTATAATAGCCCAGGAGCGGGGAGAGCCCCTGGACCTGGTGCATTATTTATTCAGCCTGATGGCCCAGCAGAGAACCTTCCTAAACGCTGCCACGGTGCTGGAGGACATGCTGCAAGTCAAGAAGGACATGATCAGGCTGGAAAATATACGTAAGGAAGGTTACTGGCTGGGTACTGTGTCCAACCTGATAGATCACAGGCTTTAAGTGATATGTGCAACCAACCTCTGTTTAGTCACAGGCTTGTTGTTTACAGGTTACTCAGGGTTCTCCCCAGGAGAGTATCCCAGAGTAGGGTGCTGGGCAGGGGGAAGTACTAGCATTTTTTTGTACTCCAGATACAAATGGAAGCCATTTACTGCAACTTCAGGTTTTGTTCTTCTGTAAAATATAGGTGGGAAAAAATCTAGAAGCCGAGGCTACTCTTGCATGTATTTTCTACTTGGAACTTGAGGCAAGGTATTATGGAGAATATGTAGAAACTTACTGCATACAATACAAAGCAGCATACATAGTGAAATTTGCAATTGTAATGTTTGTTTGTTTGTTTACCAACAGCCAACTTTCCTGAGCTTGTAAACAAGTTCAACCAACAGCAGCTTGCAAACTTCTGCCGTGTTGTGTCCGTGGCCATGTCGGAACTGAGCGAAAGCGAAGATCAGCTGACGTTACTGTATCAAGACGAAGCAGCGAAGAGACTATCGACTGTCCCCATACCTGACTGTAACCAAGGTGAGATTTGTTCCTTCAGTAGACAAAGTCTTGTAAAATTTGTGCATGCATAGATTGTATGGTGTACAAAATGTACAATGTATATTCATCTAAGACCAGGTCAGAAAAGCTGTACCAGTATCACATGTAATCTGGGTTTCATCTTCTCCTACAGAAATTCTAGTGGCGTTACCAGACTTCATCCAAAGACTGGTGGACCTAGCTTGTAGGAAGCTTGGTAAGTACAATTTTGGCGATGATTTGATTCTGTATAAGTTGAAGTTTTCACCAGTTGGCTAAAGTTGGCTGAAGTTCAGGAGCGGTCTGACAAGATTTAGGCCATGCCTACCTTTCTATATGATTCTTTTTTATGAATCAAGTAAACTTTGAGAAAAATTTGAATGCCAACCACGCCCCTACCTACTCTTGAACACCAGCCAACCATAGCCAAAACTCTCATCCACACCTGAATGTTTTAAACATTTTGAAACATTCAGCTGGTGAGCCTGTGATAACCTTGCTCCCTCCTACTCGTAACCATGTTGGGGGGTGTTCAGCTAATGTTCAGGAGGCCAAATTCATTAATGTGTAACAGAGGTTGTACTGCACTTTCGTATCTGTAAGTATAACACATCATGATGGCTTGACCTGGTCACCTTTTATAGATGAGGAACAGGTGTCTCTACCCTCCATGATGAATGAGCTGGAGAGCTGGATGACATGGATGGACAGTTCACTGGCCTTCGACGCTCTGTTTGAGATACTGGAGAACCAAGACTTGGCATACGGTCAGTACATGTACATGTAGTGGTTCATGAGTGCATGTTAAGCTTGCCATTGTTGAACCATAAACTTTATGGCAACATGACTTCATATCCCTTTATATCCCTCCCTGGATGGAAGTATTGTTTTGGGTGGCACTAGTTTGTTGCTAGGTCTGTATGTTTGGGTTCCGAAGTGACTGGGCAGAGATTGGGTTTCACTTGCAATTGATTGACAGGGTTTTGACCCAGTGTACATGTACCCTGGGTTCAAGGATGTGGTCACGACGAATGTACAATGTATGAAACATAAACCATGGTGTAATAGCGTAATACCAAGTAACTTTCATCAAACAATCATACAAGTATTAATGAATTCTACATGTATGATGTATGTATCTACTCCCAGAAGTTTGAAATCTGTGATTACTTGTTTGTAGAGTTTTTGGACGATCCCTTCGGTCCCATCCAAGTGCCCATGGCCATGAAGGCCATGCGTGAGATCATGTACAAGGTGGAGGTTCTCTACGTGCTGTGTATCCTCATCACTGGCAAGCAGAGGAACAAGGTGGGGCTAGTAGCCATGATAGTGTCCGTGGTAACCTATGTATCCAGAGTCTGATTGGTTCACCTCACATTACCTGTGCTCTGATTGGTTGATTGAAATTACATGTAGTATCAGCAGTGTATGATGGAATCACTAAATTGGTATCCAGAGTCTGATTGGTTCACCACAAATAAGCTATGCTCTGATTGGTTGATTGAACAGTGTCAGCAATTTACAATGTAAGCAATATGATATCGGAGTTTAAAACTGGATCAAGATCACTTTTTCATTTCCTTTTCTTGTCCAAAAGCTGTGTGGTGAAACAGTTTTTTTTTTCTTCCCAAGGTGCAAGAACTGATGGCAAAGTACAAGTTGATACCCAGGCTGAATGAGCTGTATGAAGACCTCATATGGAAGTGCAACATGTACGTATCAGAACTACAGCAGAACGCACTGTGTCTGTGTGAAACCCATACTGTATTCTGCATAGCACTCCGACAGAACGACTCTTTTGGGGTCATATTCTTATGTTGAGGGATAACATCCTGTCTATAGTAGTCAAATTTTGCATCGAGAAAGATGCAGTGTTGACCAAACATGTAATTTTCATCATTTTCATTGCTATTTCGTTACATTGGACCATTTTATGAAATGTTCTACTCCTGTCTTAATTGTATCTTTTCATTCCTTAGAAGAAGACGTGTACATGGAGAGGCCTGTGAATGCAGTCCTGTAAGTACAATATTGGAAGGAAGAAATTTTTGGATATTTTTACCTCACTGGGTCACATGTTATTGTTACAATTGTATAATGTCCTTTGCAATAGTTTTGCAAAATCTGGATTTTGTCAAGGAATTGGCTTAAATTGATGTTACAACTTGCTTACAGGAGATAGCTTTGAAGATTCAGTTCCTGAGATTGTCACACAGTTTTTGTGATCACCACGGGTAAGTAAAACTTCCAGTACATGTTGTAACACTGATTTAGACTGTGTCTTACTGTCTATCACAATTACATGTAGCAGTACAACCAATGATAGGATGCCAAATAGTGGTTTGACTAATGAGAGAGAGTGGCTTGCATTTCTTATAAATACTTGCATTTTTGTTTTGTTTTTATTTTATTTTACACTCATTTGACAGAGGAGGGGAGGCTATTGGATTGGCCTACATGTATTCCTGAAAGCTAAATCTTTGTTCAATACATGGTGATATGAAAATATTGCATTGTAATATAGCACTAGAATGGGACTAAAGACTCAACTAAGATTATTTGCAGATTATTTGTGATTTATTGATATTGTATACAGCAAATAGTACACAGCAAATGCTGTCCATGTGACTTTTGAAACCATTATTGAACAAACCTTCATAGATTTGTCTATGTATTTTGTTTTCCATAGAAACAAGTATCTAATGATGTCTGAATCAGAACTCAATGAACTGGGAAGAATAAGAGGTAAACACTATATTATCAAGTTTGCACAGGTGTGTACATGTACTTAGTACTCACACTTCCAGGCCTGTACCTAAACCCATTTACCTCAAATTTGTTTTGGCTAAGATATTCTGGCACCATGTTCCCCTGTTTTGCTCTAACTTGAAGTTGTGCCAAATAAAGTAAATTTCAGTGATCCTTTGTCTTTGATAACTTGTTGTGAAATGTTTGGGGAAAAGGTGTTGAAACTTTCACATGTCTCTTCCACAGCTCAAGCAGAGTTGCCTGCAGTACCAGAAGTCAGTGATATTGACAGGTGGGTTGGTGTTCCTCACATCCAGAGTGATTGTGCCAGTCACACAAAATTAGCACAACTGTAGCAGGAAAAAATGGTGTTAAAAGTGGTGTCAAAATTTCGTATGAGTTTCTATAAGGATTGGAAATTTATGTGAAGGCCTTCTTTGTGTTACAAAAAACAATGGCAAGGTGGTCTTGTATTAGAGCTTCTAACTTACATTTGTAACCTAAAGGTTCTGGTGATTGGAAACACAACATTGTTTTTACAAGCCTAAAATGCCAGAGTGTACAAATGTATTCTTGTTCTAATGGATTTTCCATGTGACTGTTTGCAGAGAGTTGGTGTGTAAAGGTGAGAAGGGACTCTTGTCCAAGATCATCCAAACTATGAAGACTGAGAAACCAACATCACCATTCAGGTAATTTCCTGTTTTTGTCTTTTACAATCACATTTTTTAAAAGTAATATCAGCTTTTAGTTTTATGTTTGTGAAAATTAACTACATTTCCATTGTAAAGGTCTACACGTACCTCACCAATGTGAAAACAAAACAACACTGACAGTATAAAAGTTGGGATCTTACTTTATTATGTATCTGCACACCTCAAGCATCCTAAAGATCCCACAGTGACCACACTTACCAAAATGAGTAGGAGAATTTCCTGATATGAGTGGACAAAACCTTACAGTCTGGTCTTGTCCCGCTCTTACTTACTGTACAAGAGTGTGTTATGCCTAAGTCAAATTACTGGCTTTGTCAAACAAGCAAAAAACACTGTCAAGTTGGCAGAAAAATGCCACTTGCACTATTTTAACCTGTGCACCATTTATTTACTTTAGTAACTTTGAAATGTTGTTGTGCTTGTGTAGGTTCTGGCTGTGTCGGGCTGTGGAGAGTTTCCTCCGAGGTGTGACGTGTTTCGTGGACCAGATCTGGCTGCTGAGGAGGGGACTGCTCGAGGTGAGAGATGGGAGCGACAGTGGAAGTGTAAAAGATGTGAACATTGACAAATGTTACATCCAGGTTGGAACTTAAGAAATAAATGCACAGCTCCAATTTTACCTACACTAACCTGTATATGCAGCTTTTTCACACCCTTTATAGCGTACTGTGTAAAAAAAGGGACCAAAACATGTCGTCATGTCCTAATGCAGGGCAGGAAATCCCGCCTGCATATGCAGGTTGATACAGGTAAAATTGGAGCTGTGCAGGTGTTTTTTATGTCTACCTGCACTGGTCCATGTACTGAGTTAACATACAACTCTGGGTGTATGTGGATTTTCATTAGCTAGTAGCTGTTTCAAGAGTTGCCACCTGTGAAGTGTAAAAATAGCAATGGTTTCTTGTTCTTGTTTGGGTACTGCACAACACCTCTAAATTGGGGTAAAGCGTGCAGTTTCTGCAACAGTTTTTAGTATGATCCATACTTCATAAATTCGTGCAGGCAAAATCTGTCTGGTTCAGGTAAATTTTAATGTTGCCTGCACCAGTGCAGGTATGCAGAAAAAAGCATTTTCAGTCATATAGTTTTACATGGAGTACCTTGAATTCCCTTGTTTTTGCAGCATGTCCTGTCTGTGATCATCGACCCAGACTGTGACAACAAGGAGATCCTGCAGAGCAGCTTTGACCTGCTGGGGGAGCTCATGAAGTTCAACTACAACTCCTTCAAGAGGTTCAGCAGGTACATGGACACCGAGGAGAAGGTACGTCTCAAAACTATGGGAAGATTGTAAGGAACACTTGAAGGATGTGCATTGTGGAAGTGGACAGTGTAATATTGTCTTGAAAAAAATGTTGTGTTCCGGTTTTCCAACCAACCCAAGCAAAAACCTGCCAACCCTCTTTTTGATTGACCGTTGGTAAGGTGAATTTCAAACTATCAGAAATTAGAAACGTCATTTAATGTATTTTCAGAAGAAGGTTTAAAGCATTTCCAGCGGCAATTTTTTCTTCAGTAAACCGGGTGAAATATTTGTCCACGAGCAAACGGGTGGAAGGGTCCTTGATGCATTGTTAGACTTTTATTTCATTGGATCATTATAAATGTTCAGATATAAAAATTTTTTTTCTTTTCAGTAGGTGCATGAAATTGGATTTTGATGTACATGTACCAGTTCTAATTAGCATTTTCTTTATTCAAATAAATGGGGTCTATTTGAAGCCCCAGTCCCGTAAATAAAAGGTTGATGTTTACGATTTGTTGTGGTTTTTCCAGTTCCAGAGGTTCCTGAAGCAGGTGAGCTCCCACCTGGTGGACTCTAACATGTTCATCCGGTCTGTGGTCCTGAGTCAGGAGCACTTTGTCACCAAACAGACAGAGTACAGTGGTGAGTCATATGGTAGAAATGATAACAAGTACATGTACATGTATGCAAGCAAAAGACATCTCACAATTGTATGGTGCAAGTCTAGCTCTTCAATAACCCATATGGAGGTACAAATTGTGTTGCAAGCTTTTATACATGTGTGATTTGAAAGGTTGATAGGTCATAGGAAACTACATGTAAGGGTCAGTAAGCAGTATAATATTAACATTTTCAGTGCAATATCTGTAAGGAAGTAAAGGAAGAAGCTTGATTCTGTGACTCTGAGCTCAGATGTTTCACAGTTTTTGTTCATGTTTTTTTACAGAGTTTGCAACCACACAGTGCCGACTGTTGATACATGTAGGCGAGCCCAAAAACAGGACTAAGTTCTTGTGCAGCCTTATCAACATCATTCAGGTCTCTACTCTTACCCAGGTAAGTTTATATTGTCTGTGTCTGTTTGTATGTTTGTGTGTACTTAGTGGAGCGTTAGATCTGTGTTCTGTCCTCAGGAGAATGTCAGCTGCCTGTACACAGCTCTAGTAATCCTAATGTTCGCCCAGCGGTGTTGCAGCCTCCTGCTCTACATGTACCTGCAGTCCCCTTGTTAATGGCTCCCCCTGTCTGTTCTTAGGAGAATGTCAGCTGCCTGAACACAGCGTTAGTTATCCTGATGTTTGCCCGGCGGTGTGGCAGCCTCCCGCTCTACCTGCAGTCCCTACGAGAGGAAGAGATGCGAGGATACCACCCAGGCTTTCTTCTCAACAACTTCAGGTACAAACATTCTTTTGTTCAGAACCGATAGAGGACAGGGTTGCATGCCTAAATGTGAAATCAGGTAAATCAGGTACAAGTACAGGTACCAGTACAGAGGTTTAGGTACAGGTCTGGACTTTTTTTTACCTGTACCCAAACAAGTCTATAAATTAACACATGTACAACAAAAACAGAACCATGTGGACTGTTTTTTGTTGCATACAATACTCATACAGGTGGTATTTTGAGCCCTGTTTATAGTCTTTGTGAAATAGACTGGTGGCCTACAATTGTTGTACAAGTTGTTGAACATTGTATCTTAAAAGATACAATGTTCAACAACTTGTACAACAATTAAATTTAAAAAAGTAAAATTTGATAAATATACAACATCACTTTTAAACTATTCACAAATGTCTAGAATGTTCTTCCACAGTGTCAAATTCCATTCATACTGTGCTTCCATCACTCAGTACCATAGCTGCAGGCCATAGGCGAGCTGCAGGCCATAGGCACAGTCATTCTGTCCACAAAAGTTTGCTTCCATATTACAAGTGGCATTTTTTTCCTCCCTTTTGTTTACAGGAGCCTGCTAAGATTCTGGGAGTCTCACTACCTCAGGAATGACAAAGAGTGCTGTGCACTGGAAAAGGTAGTCAAGGTCTGATTGCCAGTTCCATTCCTTGTAGTAGTGCTAGATTGTACTGTAGCATTTGAAAGCAATAAAAAAAACAAGAAACCAGAGGTTTTGAATTTCTAGGAAGTAGATAGGGTTGTTACTGAATTGGAAATGATTTATTACTCATATACATGTACATGTAATTATACATGTATGGTGTAACTTGCTTCGCTTTTACACTTTGGTTTATATTTCATACCATGATTACACACTCAGTACACATTCCTGGAAGCTATAACCTATGCCATTTTGTCACGTTTCAGAGTTCGGGAATTTCGTTGGACTACTGGAGAGAAACAACTCTGACGATGAGGGGTTCGGACCGCACAAACGTGGAGTCTATCGTACATTACATCGACGAGCCTTACGTGGAAGAGCTATAGTGCAAAACACTGATGAGTTGCCCAGCAAGAAATCCTATGTGAATTCATTACTTGGGTATAGAAAAGGCCAGAGTCCTTCTTTTCACCATTGAAAACAGTTTCATCATGATTTACTTTTAGTATAATATATTTTGGAGAGGTGCATTCCTTTGACTGATATTTATCAAAGTATATTCTACCGCTGCATTATACTGTAAGTGGTGAAAATTATAAGGAAGATTTGAAGCAGCATGTGTTTTCATGGATGGATAAAAAGGCCTTTTCCCCCACCTTCAAGCACTTGCAGTACCAAGGCAAACTGTTAGCGGAGCTTCTGAACAACATGGATGGGGCCTTGGGTGAAATGTCAGTCAATGCAAATTCAGTTACAGATTTGAAAACCCATCCAAAGCTCTGATTGGTCAGAGAGAAAGGAGACACCCGTTTAGTTCACCCAACTGTGCTGCTACCTGCACATTTTGCCATGACATGTCTTTTGTATGCAATTTTTAGTGCATTTCATGAAAACATTTTCTAATACATTTTACATGTACGTTTACCACATGGATCTCTCCAGGATACAGTATTTCATATATTGCCTCAACTACATTGTGCAGTCATGTACTTTAGCATAACGAAAGGAAAAAACTGAAAGATTAAAAAGAAATACTACTTGATGTATGTACTAGGGCTAAGGAGGAAAAATGCTAAACTGTTGTTTTTTTTCTGTAATTTGTTACATCACTCTACATAAAGGCTTTAGTGGCAGGACAAAAATCAATGCTTCAAGTGTAATTCTAGGATAAAAGCAAACATGGCTGACAGTTCTGTGCATCATAATAACCCAGTGAAGTTGTTTAAAAGGGGAACTCAACTCCAGAAAAAGGGTTTTGTTTCTTCACTTTTTTCTGATTCTGAAAATGGGCAATGTGGAGTTTGGACTAGGCAGCAATTGAGTTAAACAATTTTCTTATACTGGTACTTCCATCTGCATTTATTATTCAAAAGTCTCATGAAATTGAAAAATCTTGAAAATAATGTTTGTTCATGTAGTGTTTTTGTGTGAATGGTTGTTGATCAGTTTATAGACTTAGCAATTTAATTTTGTCTTGCAAAGTGAGCCAAAAATTGGCCTGAATCTTATTATTATCAATTTTTGCAGTGGAGCCTATACTGTTCAGTTACAAAATTTGATTTTGTATTCACTAGAATGTGGTCTTTTAGAAAATACCACCTGCTTCTGGAGTTTAGTTCCCCTTAAATCAGAAAGGACACTATTACCAATGAACTAGTAACATATTGAGAAATACCCCATTGCCATTATAGTAACTTCAAGCTGCAGTACCAAGGCAAACTGTAAGGGGCGCTTCAGAACATGGGAGGGTAGGTCACGGTCGGTCAAATATCCACATACCAAATATGACAGCCCAGCTTTGTAACAAGTTACTCACGGGCTAGCTTGAGGAAGCAAAGTTTAATTTCATTTTTGTGGAATCGTAAGAAGGAAATACTATGTGTGTAAAAATTACATTCATAGTTTATGTTCTGTGATATATTAAAGTTATGGTGGAATATATAACATATGTTAACATACTTCTCTACGAGAACTTGTTCATGCACAAGATATTTGTGATAATTGTTAAGAATTGTCTAAACAGCAAAAACAGTATACCGTTTATTTCTTGCAATTCCTTTGTTGTTTTTTCGGCTGTACTAGTACGTTGTAATAAACATTTCTTTCAGTGAATAACTAAGTTTGTATCCACGGGTATTTCAGCGAGTTGTCTTTGTTGTGTACAGTAAAGTTCTCCGTGTCATTTAAAAGAGAATGAGAGAATACCGTGGTCTTTGGACGAGTAATGTTTCCTCTAACTTGATGGGGAAACCCCCTCGTCACTTCCCCATTCCGAAATGTACTCATAATAGCCCAAATGATATCCAATAGACTTTGTAAGGTATGCTGTTGATGTTGTATCTTCTTTTAGTGACAAGTGACAACAGGAACTTTACGCACGACTTGCAAGACTTTTCTTTTTCATAGAGCGAAACTTCGTGGTTTCGCCTCGGGGTATTATGTTACCAACCCGGAAACCCAAGTTTCTGAGGGAAGTATACGTTTCACATTTCGTCAGCGGAAATTAAAATGTCGGGAAATGACTACAGTCAAGTTATGTGTTGCTTGTAACTGTGTGCTATAGATCCCTACCCTCCATCACTTCCTATGGGGATACGGATAGTAGAATTCGACAAAGAGTGAAGGAATTGACGAGGAGAGTCAGTCCACAGGAGGGGAACTTTCCGTGGGCATTGCAGTGGCTACAAACTCCCCATAGGCCCAGACCAATAACTCTCGGCTAAATTTCACTGCTTTTGCCCCGCATTGTTAGTCTTGTGAAGATTTGTAGATTCCGGCCTTTGGACCTAATGAGTAATAACTCGTGACCAAGTCTTATCAGTGGTAAAACGGGAACCAGTATTTACATACTACGGAGGGCTCGCTTGGTTGGTAGGAACGCTTGGTCAATCAAATCACCCATTCGTGCGACGTGACACCCGGCCTTTGGACCGCTTCAGATCACAAGGCTTCCCCCAGAACCGTGCCCCGAGTGTCAGGAACAATGTGGCGGTCTGTCGGACTCGTGTGTACGGTCGCCTTACTGGCTCTGGTACCCTTAACCACGGCTGGTAGAGTTAGGGATGCAAACGGAGGGACGAACTGTATAGGTAAGCAGTAACTTTTTAGTGTCCAAGGTAATAGAAATACGTAATGTTTGAATACAGCTGCAGGTAATCGAATGTTCTAGGTTTGCAATCTTCGCTCACGAGACGTAGCTAGTTGAGATCGAAAATTAATGAATTATTTTGAGGTCATGGTGTTAAAAATCGAAAAATATTATTTGAGTGTAGAAGCCCGTTTCGTCCTGACAGCTAGTTAAGATGACACGTCTTTTGCCACGGAAGAGTCATACAATAACACCGGCGAGTTTATAATTATTTCTTTATATATGTTTATGTGTGTTGAAAAGCAAAACATGTACACATTCATTGTAACCGTACACCTCCCCAGTATGTACAGTGTTGGTGGGGCTTGTCGAACAGTTGGCTCAAGTGTACAATGAAGGAGCTGTGGAGGCTTTGGAACGATTCTGCTCTTTTCTACCAGGTAACGGAAACTGAGTACGTCAACTCCCCCCCCCTCTCTCTCTCTCGGCTCTCTCTATAGTCTCTCTCTCACCCACTCTCTCTCTAGTCCTCCTCTCTCTCTCTCTCTCTCTCTCTCTCTCTCTCTCTCTCTCTCTCTCTCTCTCTCTCTCTCTCTCTCTCTCTCTCTCTCTCTCTCTCTCTCTCTCTCTCTCTCTCTCTCTCGGCTCCCTCTCTCCAGGCTCTCCCTCCCTCCCTGTCTCTATCTCTTTCTATCTTTCGTTTTCTAGGCTCTCTCTCTCCCTTTCTCTCTCTAGTCTAGGTTCTCGATCTCACGGTAGGCTCTCTCTCTATTTTATCAATACATCACTCAGAAAACTTGTAAAGGAATTAGACATTGCTTCCACGTGACTGTAGATGTAGAAATGTTCAACGACTTTTTTTCTTTTTCTTTTCCAGAGCAGCTCCAGGCTCCATGCCGGGCAGGGGCTGAGATATTTGCTCCTTACATAGCAGAAGCGTGAGTTTTACTTCTCCATTTCTGAGGGGGGGGGGGGATTAAATTATTAACGTTATTTTATCGATTTTTACCATGAAAGTTCATCTAATAGGATGTTTTGACGTTCTAGAAAATTCAGGAACACACATAATGTTCCTGTTATAATGTTGAATACAGATCAAAATTTGTGATTATCACGTGCCAATACAAGCAAGGAGCTTAAGTCTTGGTCAATCTCCTTGGTACTAATAATTACCAAATTTTGCTACATTTTGGTCATTCGCATAACCTCCACTTAAAAAAATGTGTTTTTTTTTCAAGTATTTTTATTGAATTGAGTATTTTCCAGAATTAAAGTTTGCTTTTCATCAAAATGTAGCAATTATGACACGTGCCGCTACGTGTCTCTCCGGTCATTTTCCTGGATCGGTCTATTTTGGGGGGGGGGGGCTGGCATACTGGTGTTCGCGGCCGGAGCTTCAATCTACGTTTGATCAGAAAAGAAGCCAACAACCACCCCCCACCAAAAAAAACTACCGATCCCGGAGCGCCTGAAAAGGAGGCTATTGGCGTACGTGTCATAATTTCTCCCGAGGCAGTGGTGCTTCCGCAACGGAATATAATTTACCTGCGCTACTGTTTACTTTTCGACAGGCGGCGCTTTTAAGTATTCTATTCAAAAGCTATTGGATCAAATCTTGTCGCATGCAAGGCTTGCTGGTCTAGTGGCATGATTCTCGCTTAGGGTGCGAGAGGTCCCGGGTTCGATTCCCGGGCAAGCCCTGTCAGTTTTTTTTTCTTTTCAACTTAAATAATTTGTCGTCTTCTTTGCTTCTTTTGTGATTTCCTCTTTTTTTCAGATTATTTGATTTTTTTTTTTTTTTAGTCACAAAAACGGCCGAATCTCGTATCTCTGTCTAAAGTGTTTTGGACAGAACCCGGAAGTGAGTTTATGAAAGCGCAATCCTTGAAAAGTCGAACTTGGCGGAACAAAAGTTAGTGTTTAGGGGTTTTGGGGGTCTTCGGCTTTGGGAGTTTTTATGCGCTATTTTCTGATTGCATATAGACAACATAGCCGGCCTGGTTGAATTACCCCCGTTAATAATCAGAAAACGGCCAAAGACCACCAAACCCCCACTTCTATAAGCCTGCTACGGAGGCTACCTTTAGGAGGCCATCGCGCTACCAGTGGTGAAATTTAGCAGCTTTATCTATTTGTCATTGTTTATAATGGCATGAATATTTGTTTATTTGTTTACTTTTGTGCCATTGTAGGATTTATAACAAGGAGACCCCTGATGTAGTCTGCCATGCCATCGGCTTCTGTAAGGTCGACCCAGGTCACAAGGCCTGCCATATCTTTCCTGTACCCAAGGTATAGTCCACAAACAACGGGGTTCAAATAACAAAAAAGAAACTCTTGTATCATAATTACAACGTTATAGTTATAACTGTACAGGCAGATCTTTTTTGAGTTTGCTGTTTGCGCAATTCTATTTCAGGTTTTTATAGTAAAGTTATTTTATTAAATTTAACAAAGTCTTTTTATCATTGGTCTAAATTAAAGTTCTGTCCTTATTGGTATAACCCATTAAATTCTTTTATCTTGGTCTACATGTTATAGGAAGGTATGGATGCAGCACTTAGGAGAATTCAGGAAGTCAAGAAAATGGTATGTTCAATTTAAGATTGAGCCTCAGTTGATTGAGCCTTGATTCTAATGAAAATGAAAGTACTAATGTTGCTCAACATTTTTTTCGGGGGAGCATGCCCCCAGGAAGCTCGCGCCTTCGGCACTCACTAGTCCCTCGGACAGTAGGAAGAACCCCCAACCGAAATCCTGGCTACGGGTATGTGTTAGGTCTTGAGCAATGAAAAAGACTGATAACTTGTAATACTTCTAATACTACGAGGATAATTTTGCAGTATGAAGAAATGACAACATTAACATAATTTCTTTCACAGCGGCAAGGCCGAGAATTTACAGACATCTGTGATATACCAGGAATCAAGGAGATATGTAACATCTTTGACAGGTAACTGTTTAGTCAAGAATACAAAAATATTAGATCTCCGATTGCAGGGCCCCTCTGTGACAACTTGTGGCCCATACACCTCTAACTCATTGACAAGAAACATTCTCAGAACTCACCAATAGGAGCCCAGGATTCTCTGTTACTGTGGAAAACTGACATCGCAACTTTCAACACATGGTATTATTCCTGACAAATTTCACAGCCAGTGCCTTCCTGATATGTAAACAGCCCGTTTAGTTACATTAAATGTAAAACATTGTTACGGTACATCTTTCTGTACAACATCCATTTGTAGAATTATACTCTGAAAGATGGGTTTGGGTGATACATGCTACGTTACAACATTATTTTAATCATGTAACGTTATCTGTCTATCATATTTGTTTGTAGAGCGTTTTCTTCACATCTTCCCGCTGACGACTTGGACAAAGATGGCTTCAGCACAATGAAGGTAAGGGTGCTTTCTGCAGTTCTGGCAAATACTGCATGGGGGCCGCAGTACATAGTGGCACACACAGTTCCTCAGCACAGTGAAAATCCAGATTAAAACTTGAACTTCGAGGAATCTTTGCATGATTGTCATGATTAAAGACACTTTAAACATTTTCCATTCTCACATCTGTATCATAATTTTGTCTATTTGCAGACGTTCAGAGGAAGTTCCTGGCGTGGGAAAGATTGCAATGACCTTGACCCGAGGTATCATCCTGGAGCAAGGTATGAGTAGGGGGCATATCTCTGTACTGTACTCTTTTTAATCTAATAGGCTTCGTTGTGTCAGAAAATTTTCCAATTGCGAGCAACAGTGCAACATTGCAACTCTTATGCAACAGGTCATTCCTACTTTTCTCGATAAGTGCGTTGTGTACTTATATATGCAGATGTTTGACGCCATCTCGAGTTATGGACCTTCATTCATAAGGCGGAGCAAAAAAGCTGCCGATTTATGTAATGCTTGCCAGTTACTGCATTCACAGAGAGAGAAAATATTTGTGATGCCATCCTGACACTGATGAATTTCTCCTACAAGTAATATTTTTTTATATTTTCAGACCGATTAATGGAGATGTGCTGACGGATTCTAACTGTAATGGAATATTTGTGAGTAGAAGTTGTCATGGTATTCAACATCAGGGACGGGAATAGGTGTGTGAATGTTGTTCAGCACCAGGGACAGGCATGGATGTGTGAATGTTGTTACGTTCAGCACCAGAAACAGGGATAGATTTGTGCTAGATACAGGGATGGGTGTAAGAATGTTGTCAAGCATAATTCCCTGATGATTTGACAGATTCCTGACATGATGCTTTATTCTTATGTTTTAACTGATGTCATTTGCAGTTACTTGATAATGATTGCTTGACACTTTCCCAGGGTTTGGATTCCGAAACTGGCTTGCCCTATGAGGAAGTCCTTTGTAATGGTAAGTCACAGTTTTTGCATTCCAAAGGGAACATTCAGTGTTGCCACAGACAACTTCCACCCAATACTGCCCATTCTCATTAACTTGTATCAACTTGTATGAAATACATTTACACTTATTTTACAAGAGATTCAAGTAGACAGCAAAAAGTTAACATCGATCGAATCGGTATATATCTAAAACAGTTTGTTGTTTTCACATAAAGAGTAAAGCTGAATGATTAAGATTACGATATCTCTCTGCAGGAACAGAGCCCAGGGGTCTGATATTACTGGGAGACTCCATAGGAGCACACTTCCACCTGCCGCCACAGTGGTTCGAGGCGAAGAGTTTGAATCCGGTAATATCTGTTTGCATATCATCCTCACCTTCGCCATCTCATGACTGTTTTCCCTTGTCATTTGTCTGCACACCATTTGCCTTATATTTGCTATATACTTACAGATGATAGTCTTTGGTTCTTTTTTTTTCACAGTCCGTCTTCAAAGACTTACTCTTCATCCTAGAGAATGAAATCGACTGGCCAGAACTTTCCACCGCTACAGGTATAAGACCTTGGGGGATAAAATTATATGTTTCCGATTTCAGTCCTGAAATAGGGTGGTTAGGTGGGAATTCGATTTTTTTCTCGCTTAGATTTCGGCTGAAATGATCCAACAAAAGTAATGAATCAACCTTGATTTTATGATATCAAAGATGATTTCCATTGTGACTTATGAATTCATTTTTATTTTTGGTCTCCCAGGTCATGTCAACAACACTTTTGGAGAGGTCATCAAGTGAGTATTTTCCTTATTATCATTATTATATTGTTATTAAATGGACCGCCTATCTTAGCAGCCAGGGACTGAATTGCAAGGATCTAAATTGGGTGAAAAATGCGAATGTCTGGCTGCCATTCGACACTAACTCGATCGATCAGGTAGCCTTGCTTCGCTCGAAGTGTGGCTTTCCTCAAATACAGGAAATATGTAAACTCAGTGTCACTATGAAGTGTACAAGGATAAATTATTATATAGCCAAATGACGTTCATCACCATCGTTGCCGTTTTCATCTGTCGACGATGTGGGCCACCCCTGCTTTCCACTCTCTTCTGTCCAACGTGTGTCTTCGTCACTTCGAACTCGCCAAGTGCTTCGCTCACTCGGCGGTTCAATCGGTGGTTGTAGGAAATGACCAGACCTTATGACACCATTAACCCTTGCTTACTGTATCATTATACATGTCGTATTAACCATCTCCACCTTCAGAGGGCCCGTGGATTCCATCTACATGCGACTACGTGAACGAAACCGCTGTAACCACAGAGACTACCAGAATATAGGTGTGAACGGTAAGTATCAGGGTTCCCAGTATATTCAACTTCAAAGTGTAGAATATACGTAGTTCTTAATCTTAATAGCAACTGCAGGTGTCGATCGCGATTTGAGCTAAGGTCACAATGGCACCGGTGTCTGTATACCGGTGGAAGTCCCCAATCGGGCTCTGACTGAGGGGAGTTTTGTGTCCTAAATTTTCCAGACATACAATTTATGCTGTGTGTCTGCGATGTTTGTTTTTTCAGGTGGAAGATCTGGGAGTATGAACAGCACAATTGTAAGGAGGTAAGTTGTGACAAATCTATACAACCCTATGGTACATTTACAGTGCCGTAATATTCTGGTAGTGGTAACGGTGTAAATGTATGTTTGAGCATGGTGAATATAACTCCAGAAGCTCCGATGGCTAGACTGTTAGGTCATTAAGTTTGTGGTCATCCCAAGATATATATCATCTGATGTTTAAAACAATCTATTTTGAATTCCATAAAATGACTGCATCTTAACCTAAACCAACATCTACTTTCCAGTTTGGTAAGAAACCGGATGTCGGATTATCCTGCTTTAGTCAACATTGAGCTGGTGGGAAACGATGTGTGCAACGGGTGGGTATTTCATATGTAATTCTGATTGAACGTTGTTCAGCACCAGGGACAGGGATGGATGTGTGAATGTTGTTCAGCACCAGGGACAGGGATGGATGTGTGAATGTTGTTCAGCACCAGGGACAGGCATGGATGTGTGGATGTTGTTCAGTACCAGGGACAGGAATGGATGTGTGAATGTTGTTCAGCACCAGGGACAGGCATGGATGTGTGGATGTTTTTCAGGGACAGGTATGATTGTGTGAATTGATTTTTTTAGGGCTTGGTGGGTTTAAATGGTTCCAGACTCCAGTAAATTACTAATAAGACAGTGTTCTAACTTTTGTTTGTCTTTTCTCACTTAGGCATCCTGACACCCTGGCTCACATGACTAAACCCAAAGAATTCAGAAATAACATGCTGGACACTTTGCAATACTTGGTTAGTAATGCAACCGTCAAGGACTGTATGTATAACGTTTCCAACGACTGGTAATAATTACAGACATGAATCACGTTAACAGCAATAATACCAGTGACGTTGTTGATGATACGTGAAAATACAGATGTGACGGAAAAACAATTACGCATCATCTGTACTACTGTACTCTACCAGGCTTGAGGAGGCGGCTGGAAAGAGTAGAAATCGGCCAAAATAGAGAGATAAGCATGCCAAGGGAGTTTGTCCGTTGAGAGAACAGTTGTGGCGGCGAACTGTCCTCTCAACGGCCATACTCCCTTGGCATGCTTATCTCTCTATTTTGGCCGATTTCTACTCTTTCCAGCCGCTACCTCAAGCCTGGTAGAGGCTACATCTGTACCCCAGTAAGTAACCATGTACAATCAAATCCCTCCGTTAGTTATAACTGCAAACATTCATATAAAGATCTAAACCATTCCTTCCTCAGAGGTAATGAATGATCATGATCCATTTATCCTCTCACTCAGGATGAGGTTCTGCCTGAAGGCAGCCATGTTTGGGTGTCAGGCCTGGCCAATGGCAGCCTGCTGTACGCTAACGTGCACGACAGGATCCATCCACTAGGTGAGCAGCTGCATAATCGTTCATGCTCTCTTAGAGATTACTGCGGACCGGTCCGTTTTCAAGGGGTGGCCGTTGGGGGGCATTGCAACTAAGAACACTGCCTCCATTCATTTTATTCCGTCATTTGTCATCGCTTGGGTGCTGGCAAAGGGCAGGCCGGTTCACTCCCTAATATTACCGTCCCATATTATTCTAATACTATATAAAAATGAAACTCCAATATCCCGGTAGTCCTGTCCACCTCCATAAAACGTATCTATGCAATACAAAAACATAAATATGGAAATATTTTATAGACATGCAGCCACTCTCTCATTGGTCGAGCCGCTAATTGTTATACGCTATCATTGGTGGTGGAATTGCTAATTGTGATGGACAGTCAGGATCGGTCGGATCTGTTGTTCTACATTTCAGGAAGTCTGAGGAATGACATCACCTACACGGATTTCTACAACTACATGAACTGTCTGGAGGTCAGTGCCTCGCACTCCAGTTATGATCTTTAAATTCCAGTTATGGTCTTTAAATTAATAACAAATAAATCATTTAAAATGATATGTTTTCTTACAAAATACATTTTCCACTGTTATATAGATGTTCTGTATGTTTTGTTATGTTTGTCCAGATCTCCCCATGTTCTGGTTGGTTGACGGATAACTCTACCCTCCGGTACCTCACAACCAAGGTGGGTAACCAACTGGAAAAAAATGTATCCAACAAAAAAATTGTCTAAAATGTACAAAATTGAGAAAGAAATGACATGGACAACAGGAAATCCAATGACTCACACCTCTGTAAGCGTTGTGAATTTCTTGCTGATTTTGTCTAGTATACAGGCATGCATATACCAGGAAATTGTAGTCAGGAAATAAGGTAACATTTTAAGGGCCCTTAAGCCTAACGTGTTCTCGACCTGCCTAGCACATGGACATAGATACGGAACACACTTTGTACATGAAGGTAATTACAAAATAGATAATTATTATAATAATCTCACCTTTCCATATTTTCCTTATTTTCCCTAATTGTAATAAATCGATTCTCTTTTGTATGACACGGCAAACAAATTTTCTACAGAGAGCCTTTGAGCTGAATGACGTCCTGAGAAACATCACCGCAAATTCCCGGTACAAGAACTTTGACCTTTACTACCAGGACGTCCCCATAGATGAGGTCATCGCGGAGTGGGAGGCGCAGGGCGGGCAGGGGTGGCAGCTGATCGAACCTGTCGACGGCTTCCATATCAATCAGGTAGGTCATCTAACCAAGCACGTCGGTAGAACATACTGCGCCTGCACGAAACCCTGATTTTTCACGGTTTTCTTTGGGTGTTTTATCAGAATTTTGCCAACGAGGTAACCTAAGTCGAAAGCTAGGTTGCAAATCAGCATTCCATGTTGCCGTCAACACCAGTTATTTATTTTAGAAGGCAGGATGTAAGCCAGCCCACCTGTAAAGGTCGCTTTGTATGCAAAAAAAAGAAGAACTTGCGCGCCGGGCAACCTGAAAGTTTCAAGGTCTCGTGGGCACTTTAAATGGGATAGTGAGTGTGAGTGGTGAGTGTGTGAATGCGTTCAATGACAGAAATTTTGTATTGCTTCACAGCTGGCAAATGCCCTCGGTGCGGCGCACATTTGGGAGATGCTTGAAAAGGATCACCCCAACGTGCTGGGTAAGGTCAACCCAAACAACGATAGGATCAAACAACTGTTTGGGGACCAGGGCGGCTACTGAAGAAGGTTCTGCACACTACAGCAGTTACGCCTAGCAGCAATGCAAAGTATAACATGACTTAGTAATGTCGTGAGGAAGGTGACAGTTACCAGAACATTGTTATCCAACAATTGTAAATGGTGCAATTTATTAAACAAAGTGTGGCAACTTCTAAATCTACTTATAGCAACTTCAGGAGTAGACTTTGTAATTGTAGTGTGTAATGAACTCAAGGGGATTCCTCGTTTTTGGGGCCTATCGTAACAAAAAGATCTTAGAAAGACTTTATCAAAATCGAACTTAACAGCAATTGGCAGTGCCTTGTCTTCTATTTCAAATGCAATAATGCAATTTCTTGTCATTTATAATGCTGTAACATTATTATTATTATTATCCTACTATCAGTATGTTAGTAATTATCTTGATGTAATAAAATAAATGAGATTCACAAAATATGTTGCGATAGACTTAATTTACTCAGTTTGTGCAATAAAATCTTACCCCAAGTCAAAAGTTATGCGTTATTATCATATAGCCGGGTGACGTTGACCAATCAGAAGGCTCCATTCCACATTCTTTATGTCGCCGTAATGTCACAAATAGAGTCAAAATCGGGTATTTATTCATCCCAATCCATACATTAAACAAAATGAATAATCACCCGCATATGACCTCAGGTGACCCAATAGAACAGGGCTCTAGTTCTAAAAAATCCAAAAATAACTTGAGTTGTGTTCCGATGACCTCGGGTGACTCCCATAAGAACACCTGTTCCCTGCCTGTGACCCAGATAGAAGGCCATAGAACATGAACCCCCCAGTGACCTCAGGTGACTCCAGATGGAACAAATATTCTATGTTCTATTCAGCATGTGCAAGGGGTAAATTGTACATTGTGTCACTCTTCACTGCATCAGTTTGGATAGGCTATCGTGTAAGCTATATGATAATAGTGTTAATGTCCCGCCCTTTCTCGGTGAATATGGTGTGATAAAGCCTTGTCAGTTGCTATAACCACCTCATAAAGCCACCTCGTTCGCTGCGCTCACTTGGTGCTTTATTCTGTGGTTATAGCAACTGACAAGGCTTTATCACACCATATTCACCTCAGGGCGGGACATTAACCCTTAATTAATGTATTTATAACGCTAGTGATGTTACACATCAAAAGGTAGTTCTATTGTATTTTGCAGGTGCATTGCATTTTGCTGTCACTTGTATCTTTCACTGTAACCCCACAAAAACAAGAAATTGGAAATTTCAGGCTTCCCAGAGGTATATTGAGTTCCGGTTACCTTTAAGCTCTGTCTAAGAAAGTTAAACTTGTCTCCCAAATCTACCTTATGTCACATTCATGGCATTGAGCTACTATCTAAGAAGAAGCTAAACCGTCTGCAAGTTTTAGAGTGACATGACAACAATGACACGTTTTACCGATTACCTTTTATTGTGTTAAAAGCCAATTCCACAAAAAAATTATAACCACAGATTCATTCAGGGAATCTAGTTATAACACCAGCACACATAATTTCCTATGCAATAAGGGTAATTGAAAATGTAATGATAGTCAATGATCTTAGAAATAGTATAATCTACTTGATGTCTTTTCTAAATCAATCAATTCACGTAAAATTCCAAATGGAAACCAAAGCTATTTACATGTTTGCATATTTTATATGTTATTTTATGAGATACAGCTTAATGAACCGGTGTACTCGTGTCTGACGTTACTAACGGTTACAAATTGACAAGGAAAAATGATATAACTAATCATAAATGCACATTGATCACAAAGATTACATATTCTTATTGATATAATAACGGAACATGCGTGACACTGATAAAGATCAAATAACAAAGTTGTTAACTAAACATCGCCAATGATTATGCCAGAAAGCCTTCATAGTTTTGCATTGACCATAATATTGTTTATTGTTTGTTTATTGTTTATTTATTTTTGTACGTATGTAAAAAAAATTCATAATCAAATAATAACAATCAGAGAATATGCGGGGTAGGCCAGAAACCTAGGTGGTTTTTTAAAGGGCCTACCCCAAACAAATGTAACTTATGACAAAACATATTTGAATTAAACATCAAAATTAAGCAATGATATAATTGATTAATTAAACAAAATCAAGACACAGAAATACTAACTGAAGTGTGTAAACTACTTTTAACATCTACGAAGAGAAATTAAACAAAAGTCTTATACATGTAATTCAAGTCGCTGTTACAGAAATAAACTGATTAGATAATTAACATAAAAAGTAACGATTAAAACAAAAGATTGAAAAAAAAACAAGGAAAACAAACAAATCAGATTGTAGTGGTACTTGGGTTTTGTAAGAAAACGTTTTTAAGAAGTTTTTTAAACACAGGAATTGACTGGAAGTTTTGTAGCAGTTGACTTAACTTGTTCCAGACGATGGGGCCTCTATACGCTATTGAGAATTGTTTTGTGTGGATTAAGTCTTGTTTGGCCTTAATTGGTTATGTTGTCTCGTATGGTGAAATGATATATTGTAGCTATTAACAATTGATTTGTCAGCAAAAGTAAATGTTTTATTGTCCTCAACAAAAAAGGTTGTGTAATTGGTGTCCGACAAGGAACGTATTAATTATATGTGCTATTCATCAACAATTACTTTCTCAGCATTATCAGCTTTGACGTTTATTGTCAGAAAGGAATGCCACACATGTTGTCTAAAATGATGGTCCGTAGTCCCTTTCTTTGTGGTCATACTTGAATCGTTTCCTCTTGGGTGAACTGGCAAAACTTGCCCTCTTCCTTACTTTGGATTTGATGTCACTTGCCAGCTTGGCTACATCAACATTACCGTCTGTACAGTCCAGGTATGTCAGAAGAGCTAACTCATCAGGAATCTCACACTTAGACTTCAACACGGGCAGTACACAGTACTTGTCGCTTTTTAGTTCTTTCTCAATGGCTGCCTTGAGCTCAAACTTACACCAGTTACTGGACAGAAAGTTAGGGGAGAGAACTATGAGAATCTTCCTACTGTTCGCTACTGCCCAGTCGATGTTGTGAGGAATCGGCACGCCGCTCTTGAAGTCCCTGTGGTGGACACAGATCTTCAGGTTGTGTGGTGGAGACTCCAACTGCTGGACCCACTCATCCACCCAGGGGAAGTCACGCTGGTTGGCCGACACGAAGGCATCGAACTTGAACTTCCTCAGCCAACGAAACACTGTGATTACCAGAAATCAAGAATTCGAGTTAGACGCCATACCTTCCATACGGCATCATCCAGTAAAGTTGAGGTCATCCAGTAAAGTTGAGGTTCCCTCAAAAAAATGGATGGCGTTTGGAGTTAACCTGTTGTGCTCATGCTACATGTTGATGATGCAAACTAAAAAAAATCTTTTGACACAGATAGAAGTATATATAGCTTACATCCGAATTCCATAGAAATTATCCGTCAAGGTTTTTCAGCGATTTTGTGTGATTTGATGTTTACTATGACAGCATAGGTTCATCATATAGTTTATGACTATTCTATATAGCCAATGGTAGAGATCATAGTCAAATCGAAAGGAATGGGTTTCAGGAATTCTATGGTACTAAACTGGTAAGAAACCTCCTCTAATGAGAATACAAACCTGGTGAGGAGATGAACAGTTTCTGGAATCTCTTGAAGAAGGACATGCCAACTGTTACACCGCTAGCTCCAACCTGCAGAGGCAAGAACGTTTGCAAATGATTAAAACTCTGTGTGCATGTGTGTGGATCATTTTACATACAGTGTTGTTCTATACATTTAAAGGACATGGATTGAAAAATGTTGATAAAATGGATGGTGACCAATGATCTGAAAGATTTAGAAAACAATACTGATGGGGACCAATAAGCAAGACGGAAGAAATCTTTATACACTTAAGGAAATTATTTAGCTGTAGGGTGTATTTTACATGTACACCAACTTTGCTGTTGTTTGCAAACAGTTCAGTTAGTTCTCGACAAAATACAGGGACTCCCAATAACTAAAGTTTATTCTTTTAATAAGAACGTTAACAGACTTCAATCACGCTGTCTTCAACAGTCTAAAATGATTGCAAAGGACACATATTTACCTCTTTGTCTTCCTCCTGCTCCTCCATGTGTTCCGCGCTCGCTTCCACTTTGTCCCCAACATCATCTGTCACGTTGGCAAGAGTTCGCTCCTCAGTTAGTTTCTCCAAAAGTAGTTCTGCAAGAAATAGAAGTTGTTTTATAAATTCGCAAAGTCTCAAGTGCAGATAATGTTTTGACAAGCCGCTCTCCAGAATATGGCGAGTCTACTGTATAGTCTACTGCTTTCAGTCCTGTAGGAGTTGATATCGAACGTTTATTGCAAATCTTGATTTCTTTTCTGCGTGCAGTGAAGTATGAAATGCCTGACATTTTGCAAAATGTATGAATTAGGAGGCGTTAATAGAAATGCAGTTTTTTGTAGGCTGGGAATGTAAATAAAGCTAGGGAACATTTTGGTAACCATTTCAAATAACTTATCTCTTTTGCTGCTATATAATTAAGGGGAATGGCAAATATACAGGTGACGACAGGACACCGTTTACTGACCTGCCACATCATCCATCTTCATGTTCTTTAGTGCCCACCACACGTCAAAGATGTTTGGCCAGTACACCTGTCTGTCCAGCCACAGCAGCAGACTCTCCACAGCCATCTCCCTCAGTCCTCTAAGGTTGATGTTACACCTTCGTTCGATTTCGTCCAACTCGACATTCCTGATATCCAGGTCCCGGGCGAGCTCCCGCCATCTCAGGCCGACGTGTTCACTCAAGACGGTTGTGATCAGCGTTCGAATGATGCTCTAGAGTAAGAGCCAATAACCAGTTTACTTAACTTACTACTACTGGTATGAAATAGAAATGGTGAATAGGCGAGACATTACAGGTTCAACATTAGATGAAAACAAACAAATGTCGGCGACCCATCCTTAGTAAAGTGACATTTAAAGACAAAACTTTCATATTTTAATCTTCAACTAGGCTTATAGTAGAACTAGAAACGTATTGCTTCTTAGTATTGAGTTCACCAGACAGTATAACGCATACTTTTTTCACACGAACTAAAAGAATGTAAGTTATGCCATTACGGCGTTCTCGTTACGCGGTATACTCGGTTGTATAGTACACAGTCTACACACCTTCTCTGTTTGCTGCCTTGCTTGAATGGTGACTCGGTGTGCTGAAAGCTCAGTAGGAAACTCGCAGCTGGATTGCTAGGATTTAGAACAGGTAGTTACATATCTGTGGAGGACGATTTTCAATGGTCTCAACGTCTCAAATGTTTGGTCTTTTCATACAATTCGTATCATACACGTACATTTGCGACCAGAAGTAACTGTGCAGATATAGTTTTATTGTGTCTGACCGTCCCAAGTATTAAAGCAACGAATAGGACTTTGAACACAATACAGAATATAGGACAACGCCAAACTGGTTCCGACATATAAGGATATATACTGATAGTACGTTTAACCATACAAGCCTTTCAAGTAAGCCAATGAGAATAAAATTTAAATGCCTGAAGAAAAGGTAACCTTCAAAGTATAAGCTCTACAATTATATTTTGTCGTGTGACAAACAATCAACATTTTTACTCACAGCTGCCTCCCTGTTGTTGGCACTCCAAAGCGTGTAAGCCACAAGGTTGTGACTGAGTCTCACAGCAACATCATAGGGACTTTCAACGTACAATTCTCCACTGTCCTTTTTCTAAGGTACAAATTAAAATTCAAGACATGGACAAATAATTACCCAGTACTTTGGGTAGGATATACATGTACTAGTATTCATAAAATGTCTTAAAAGCATCAGAAATGGGCGAATTCAAACATGATAATTATAAAGCTATGAAGAGACTGCTTTTCCCTAGTAGTGAAAGCTGCAATTTTCTCAAGATATTCTAATCTGTGGAATTAGAATTGAGCATAACCCACTAATCGTAAAACATTTAATTCAGTATCATTCATTAATGTTAAGATATTGGCAAACTAGTATAGTAGTATTAGTAAGAATAACTGGAATAGCTTGGGACACAAAAAATAACGAAATATATCAGGTCCTATATGTTGTAGCCCGACAACAGGCAGTACTACAATTTCACAGGGAAGATCGTTTACCATACATGTGCATGCCATCGGTATAGCATTGGATGAGGGATAGTAACGTGTCTTAACTTGAGCAAGAAGAGAACATTACTTAAAAGGCTATTGCGTCTGAGATTTGTTTATCTGAAAAACAGGACATCAAAGTTGAGCTCATGATGACCTAAAACATGTCAAATACCTCGATCGGTACCGTCCCTGCGCATGTTGTGTCCGCTCCTGCACTGACCAGGAGATTCACAATGTTCAGGTTGCCGATTCCTGCTGCTGCATGGAGCGGTGCCACCTCTAAATTATTTGTAATATCCTTTGAGAACTCCATCTGTTGAGAAGAAGTCACAATCATTTATTTATTTTATGGCTGGTATTATTATAGCTATAGATATTGTTTTCATAAGATTAATTACACATAGGCACGGTATGCTATATAGAATTTCTTATGGGCCTTTTGGGTGAAGATTTGTATTTAGGTTTTAGAGTTCTGTTATTCATACTGAGTTGATTGTGAGATCTCAGATTCATAGTACATGAATTCATTGACATTCTATGTAGTGGTAAGCTCACCCATAAATATCTAAAGATGCCAGTAGGTGACATGTTTCTACTCAGATGATATCGTTTTCAATTAATCCGTACTAAATACATCGGGTCATACAACAAATCATTGCGAATCATATGCACTAGTGATCCGTAAAACACGACAAAAACTCGATCCGTGCAATTCGTATATGAATACTAATACTTTGGCTTTTCGGCCTCCTGTGATAGCTGGGACATGTGAGTAGGAAAAATCTTTTTAACTGTACACATCCATGTAATTGCATCCATGTAAGTGTATTCATAAGGACGTTAATTGGTAATAAGTAAAAAGTGGTGTGTTCCATTGTAGGTGCATCATACTGTGAATGTAACCGGGGCTCTAGTCACTTGTTACAAAATTCATGCCGTTAAGATATTTACCGTTAATTTCTGGTTAATGGCACCTTTACTGGCGACAAGAAGGACGCCAGCAACTCCAAAGTGATCCCCAAGAGCTGCTGTATGTAGAGCCGTCAAACCTTTAAGTGTGATCTCATTTTCAGTAGCCTGAAAAAGACAACAATCTATGTTTAAACAACAGTATGGGTGCATAATACAAATGACGTAACATACTATTGGTACAACTCTAGTTTGTATTTACTTTCATATTTGATGAGAAACTATAATAATTTGAAACTTGTGAGACAAGTCACTTTATCACAAAATTATCATACATGATGCATTAGGAATACTTTCAACATTAAACCAGACAAATTCGTCTGCGTTAGTAAAAAAAACTACTAGTTAGTAATCACGACCACAAATGCTTCGCGCGAATTGATATAACCTGCATGAATAATCATCCCTATCCGAAACAGCGATCCGCATCAAGTTTTTGCGGATCCATAGACTATGAGCGATGCCTCAAGGAAGCCTGATAGCATATTTTGTTTTGGAAATTCGGGAATTTTGTAGAATGTCTGAGTGTACTATTACATCATATCGGTAAATAACGTGAGAAATTTACATAACAAGTTACAATAATATGAAATGATGGTGGTTTCATACTTCCGGTATTTCATACTTTATCGAATGTGAACATCATTGAACATCGATTATACAAATCAAGGCCTTATTTGCATACATTTTGCTTAATAATTACATGTACCACAACGGCCTTTTTGCCTCCTTAAGATATATAGGTCTTTCATTTTGGTATAACATGTATCATTTTGGGAGATAATATCATCCAATCATATAATAAATTGACTTCATTTTCAATAAAGGATCGTCAAACTTTCGTTATGTACATTTATGTAAATTTAGAACAAATTTGCATTATCATTTAGTATGAATTTTCTGTGTAATAATTGATTAAGAACGAAAATGATATTGACAAATATCGATTATGATGAATATGAATATGAAGATCTTATTTCCCTTATCATTGAGAAAATTATAACTAATGGGCAAATGACGGGAATTTCATACAGCGTATAAAAGTTACTTTAACGAAACAATATTGATATCACAAATCAAGAGATAAATCCAACTGAATTATCAAGTAAAATCGTCGCCATGGAAATAGTTCTTATCGCCAATCTTTTCATCTCTTTAATTTCTCTATTACCTGGCTAGCCTTGTTCACGTCTGCTCCAGCCTTCAGCAGCTGCTGTACAACTTCCACATGTCCGTACAGGGCTGCTATGTTCAGCGGAGTGACTCCGATCTGTGAGTGAATTGAACTTAATGAAAAGGGATATTGGGGATGAACAAGTTCTGTAAAAGTCACGAGTCTACAATGCTAACTATTATCTCATTTTATATCCATCTTACCTGCTGCGCCTTGTCCACTTCTGCTCCAGCCTTCAGCAGCTGCTGCACAACTTCCACATGTCCCTCCTGGGCTGCTATGATCAGCGGAGTGATTCCGGTCTGTGAGTGAATTGAATTTAATGAAAAGGGATATTGGGGATAAACAAGTTCTGTCAAACTCACGAATCTACAATACTAACTATGATCTCATTTTATATCCATCTTACCTGCTCCGCCTTGTCCACTTCTGCTCCTGCCTTCAGCAGCTGTTGCACAACTTCCACATGTCCCTCACTGGCTGCTATGATCAGTGGAGTGACTCCGGTCTGTGAGTGAGTTTAAATTGATGAGAAGGGCTATTGAGAATGAGCAAGTTCTGTAAAACTCTCGAGCCTACAATACTAACTATTATCTAATTTTATTTCTATCTTACCTGTTGTGCCTTGTCCACCTCTGCTCCAGCCTTCAGCAACTGCTGCACAACTTCCACATGTCCATTCCCGGCTGCTTTAAACAGCGGAGTGGCTCCGTCCTGTGAGTGAGTTGAACTTGATGAGAATGAATATTGGACATAAGCAAGTTCTGTAAAACTCACGCACGAGTCAACAATGCTAACTATTATCTCATTTTATATCCATCTTACCTGGTTAGCCTTGTCCACCTCTGCTCCAGCCTTCAGCAACTGCTGCACAACTTCCACATGTCCCTCACAGGCTGCTATGTTCAGTGGAGTGGCACCGGTCTGTGAGTGAGTTGAACTTGATGAGAAGGAATATTGAGAATGAGCAAGTTCTGTAAAACTCACGCACGAGTCAACAATGCTAACTATTATCTCATTTTATATCCATCTTACCTCATCCGCCTTGTCCACCTCTGCTCCAGCCTTCAGCAGCTGCTGCACAACTTCCACATGTCCATTCCCGGCTGCTATAAACAGCGGAGTGGCTCCGTCCTGTGAGTGAGTTGAACTTGATGAGAAGGAATATTGAGAATGAGCAAGTTCTGTAAAACTCACGCACGAGTCAACAATGCTAACCATTATCTCATTTTATATCCATCTTACCTCATCCGCCTTGTCCACCTCTGCTCCAGCCTTCAGCAACTGCTGCACAACTTCCACATGTCCCTCACAGGCTGCTATGTTCAGTGGAGTGGCTCCGGTCTGTGAGTGAGTTAAAATTAATGAGAAGGAATATTGGGGATGAGAATATTGGACATAAGCAAGTTCTATAAAACTCACGAATCTACAATACTAACTATTATCTCATTTTATTTCTATCTTACCTGTTGTGCCTTGTTCACTTCTGCTCCAGCCTTCAGCAGCTGCTGTATAACTTCCACGTGTCTATTCAGGGCTGCTATGTACAGTGTAGTAGCTCCGTTCTGTGAGTGAGAAGGAATATTGGGGATGACAAAGTTCTGTAAAACTCTCCAGTCTGCAAACTATTATCTCATTTTATATCCATCTTACCTGCTCCGCCTTGTCCACATCTGCTCCAGCCTCCAGCAGCTGCTGCACAACTTCCACATGTCCCTGATGGGCTGCTATGTTCAGCGGAGTGACTCCGTCCTGTGAATGAGTTGAACTTGATGAGAATGAATATTGGACATAAGCAAGTTCTGTAAAACGCACGAGTCTACAATGAAAACTATTATCTCATTTTATATCCATCTTACCTGCTGCGCCTTGTCCACTTCTGCTCCAGCCTTCAGCAGCTGCTGTACAACTTCCGCATGTCCCTCCTGGGCTGCTATGTTCAGTGGAGTGGCTCCGTCCTGTGAGTTAAAATTGATGAAAAGGAACATTGAGAATGAACAAGTTCTGTAAAACTCTCGATCCTACAGTGCTAACTATTATCTCATTTTATATCCTCGTACCTGCTCCGCCTTGTCCACTTCTGCTCCAGCCTTCAGCAGCTGCTGCACAACTTCCACATGTCCATTCTCGGCTCCTTTGTACAGCGGAGTTACTCCGTGCTGTGAGTTGAAATTGATGGGAAGGAATATTGAGAATGACCAAGTTCTGTAAAACTCTCGAGCCTACAGTGCTAACTATTATCTCATTTTATATCCATCTTACCTGGCTAGCCTTGTTCACTTCTGCTCCAGCCTTCAGCAGCTGCTGCACAACTTCCACATGTCCCTTCTCGGCTGCTATGTACAGCGGAGTGATTCCGGTCTGTGAGTGATTTGAAATTTATGAGAAGGAATATTAAGATAAGCAAGTTCTGTAAAACTCACGCACGACTGTACAATTCTAACTACAAAATTATCTCATTTTATATCCATCTTACCTGGCTAGCCTTGTTCACTTCAGCTCCAGCCTTCAGCAGCTGCTGCACAACTTCCACATGTCCCTGACAGGCTGCTATGTTCAGTGGAGTGGCCCCGGTCTGTGAGTGAGTTTAAATTGATGAGAAGGAATATTGAGAATCGGCAAATTCTGTAAAATTCACGAGCCTACAATGCTAACTAATATCTCATTTTACATCCATCTTACCCGCTGTGCCTTGTCCACGTCTGCTCTAGCCTTCACCAGCTGCTGCACAACTTCCACATGTCCCTTATGGGCTGCTATGATCAGAGGAGTGATTCCGGTCTGTGAGTGAGTGGAACATAATGAGAAGGAATGATTGGGGATGAGAAAGTTCTGTAAGTTTTATGTGCCTAAGACCTTCAAAATGTATCAAATCTCATCATTGTTAGTATTTGCATACCTGTAATAAGAAAAGCTTTCGAGATTCAATGTGCTTGTTCTTGCATCTTTGTTCTCAATTACATAGCTACTATATAATTCATTTATTTGAGAATCTTTGCTAGTTTTACACTGGGGTAAGTTTTCGAATAGTCCACTTTTGCGTGGGAGGGAGATGGACTGAAATATGCTGTATTTGCTCCCAAGCAAATGTTATTTTGTTTAATTTTACAGACCAGGTGATTACTATATATATGTTATGTTATGTTATGTTATGTTATGTTATGTTATGTTATGTTATGTTATGTTATGTTATGTTATAGATACCTCATTCGCCTTGTTCACTTCTGCTCCAGACTTCAATAAATGCTGCACAACTTCTACATCTCCACTCCGAGCTGCGTCCAGCAATGAGCCCATGGAGGGTGCATCCTGTGGAGCAGTACAATAAATGTTAATCAACTTAACAAGACCATCTCTATAGTACTGCGCCTATCTGTAAGGGTGCCAAGGTCAAGGACGACGATGATAGCTAAGCCTCGATGGGTGCCCTTACAAAGTTCGTAAGATAAGCCGCCGATGTTGTAGATGTACGACCCGAAAGAAAGACACAGGAGCCGACAGCTACGTAGAAAGTGGTCTGTATTCTCTTCTTTCTCAAACGGGAACTAACTTAACTACATGAGTGCAGGGGCTTTTATATCTTTACCCGCCTACACACAGGTTTCTTGGAAAAAGTTACATTCTTTGTATCACAATCATCCTGAGTCACATCCTTTCCCTTTCTTAAGATGTTACTGACCAGTCCCTGGACATGCCCAAATAAGGCTAGGGCCAGGCGGTCAGGACGTGTGCCGGCCTAGACCCCTGGGAAGATAGGCCCATTAGCAAGTGTCATTCAAAGGTCGCCCACTCCTTCCCAGTATAGGGCAGGAGAAAGTGACTGTACCAGGAATGTCTCAGGAAGTCCAAGGAAATACACTGTCACTCTTACTATCAATAATAAAATACATCCTACAAGGTTAGAGCACCCTATTACATATCTGCCATGTAACGCTACAAGGGCACCTAAACGTGTACCTCTGCGTACACGCCAGATGTAATGTATTTGTGTCATTTTTGCAGCGTTTTTGTACGTTGTTTCATGGAGCGAAGACTCGTCTATAACGTTGCAAGGGGCCATTGGAAGACTCCATAATTAGATATGGGATTTTTATATTCAATTTTGGACTAGATTGATCAATCACCTCACAGACCAAAATTCTAATATAAGATGCCATTGACTCTTGGGCGCTTCTGCGTACAACGGAGAAAACAGAATCGTGTATTACAATGTATTGCAGTTTTCTATGGGGGCCTGATCAGCTCTTAACAATATAGGAAAAGGCCGCTATAGAAAACTACCTGTGCACGAGAGATTATGTAAATATTGTACAATGAATGCAGTGGAAAATGAAATACATTTTGTTAGCCAGTGTCCTCACTATGAGACCGAAAGAAACCGATTAATTCAGACAGTTACAATTTCTCCATCCTTTCGTCATTTAGAAGATCACCAAAAAACTGCATTTCTACTAAGATCACAAAACCCACTAATTATGCAGAATGTGGGACTATTCATTATCCACTGCCTTCAAAGAAGAAGTCGAACCCCATAATAGCTAGCGTAGTAGTAGAAGTAGAAGTTTTTTTCCCAGACAGCTGTTACCTGTCTCCTGTTACTGTGTATTGAGTATTATACTTGATTGTAAAAGCAATTAGCCTTCGGGCATGATTTTGCGAATAAAATAAAGTTTCTTAACAATAGACGATCAATAGAGATCGTTTTGCTCGCGGTGAAATGAAAGAAGACGCGAAAGACACTACGTTGCATCATACAGGCTCTATATGTAATGGGAGATATTTGATTACAAGGGCTTGGCCCGGTTGATAGACCACAGGGCAGTCCGCAGGCATGTTAGTCCACAGTAAAGTCTAAGTACGTGTGAGTGATTCAATATTTCCTCGCCAATATAACCGAAGAAGCGGGAGTGTTAACATAGTTGATGCGTTTCTCTCGTCAAAAAAAAAACGCTAGACGTCAACAGCTAAGAAGCTCGTAAGTTCGAACGTTACTAAAAAAAAAACTATCGGCTAAACAAGAAACCTGCGCCATGTTGTAACATTACAATTTATGTAAACTTAGCCTTTTGTAAGAACGAGTCCGTCACCGAAAGAATTATCTAATGACGAAATCAAAGAATCCTGCATAAGGCCTTCCAAAGTGAACAGCACATTTCTTTCCCATTTAATTTAGGGCTTCTTGGGGACATAAAATCGTTCATTGGAATGCCTTGCTGCTTTATCAGCTCCTGACCTGGGCCAAATGCCATAGTGCAAACAACAAACAAAAGATGTTTCTTTACCTTGGTGTTCGTTGCCATGCTGGCCCGAACTTAGATTAGAAGACTTAGAAGCAGTTGCTACAAAATCAGCAGTAACCATCTGTCAATTCCTTTCCATGTCCACACGATAATTCTACGTCCTAGTGGTCTTGCTTGGTTGCTCAAGAAATCAGTAATCTGTAGCATGTAGGTCGACCCACAGGTTAATGGGCCGGGGTTTTCCACCTGAGTCATCAGCGACGAATGCAGTAGGGGCTGTACTAACCACTAATAGCGTAGAAGTACAAGCGTGGTGTTAACGTAGTTGAAGCGTTTCTCACGTCAAGAAAAACGACGGAGATTTCAGTCGTCATCAACAAATTGCACAAAGCAGCTCGTGAGAAGTTTTGAACGTTACTCAAAAACCTATCGGCTGAATAAGAAACCTGCGCCATGTTGTAACATTGCACTGTGTAAACCTAACCTTTTGTAAGAACGAGTCCGTGACCGAAAAAAATCATTGAATAAAGAAATCAAAGAATCCTGCACAAGGGCTTCCAAAGTCAACATCATACTTCTCTCCCCTTTAATCTATGGATTCTGGGGAATATAAAATCGTTCATTGCGTTTCAGTATCAGCCCCTAGACCCAAGGCCATAGTGCAAACAACAAACATGTTTCTTCACCTTGGTGTTCGTTGCCATGCTAGTCCCAACTTAGAAGACAGAAGACGTCAATCAGAATTGCTGCAAGATCAGCTGAAATTAATGATCTGTCGATTCTTTTCCAGGTCTTTAGGACGATGTATGTACGATTCTAAGTCCTAGTAGTCTTGCCTGGTATCTCAAGCTATGAAACAGTAAACCGGGGCTTTCCACCTGAGTCACAAGCGACGAATGCACTAATCACTAATCACTAATAGCGTAGAAGTACAAGCGTGGTGTTAACGTAGTTGAAGCGTTTCTCACGTCAAGAAAAACGCGGAGATTTCAGTCGTCATCAACAAATTGCACAAAGCAGCTCGTGAGAAGTTTTGAACGTTACTCAAAAACCTATCGGCTGAATAAGAAACCTGCGCCATGTTGTAACATTGCACTGTGTAAACCTAACCTTTTGTAAGAACGAGTCCGTGACCGAAAAAAATCATTGAATAAAGAAATCAAAGAATCCTGCACAAGGGCTTCCAAAGTCAACATCATACTTCTCTCCCCTTTAATCTATGGATTCTGGGGAATATAAAATCGTTCATTGCGTTTCAGTATCAGCCCCTAGACCCAAGGCCATAGTGCAAACAACAAACATGTTTCTTCACCTTGGTGTTCGTTGCCATGCTAGTCCCAACTTAGAAGACAGAAGACGTCAATCAGAATTGCTGCAAGATCAGCTGAAATTAATGATCTGTCGATTCTTTTCCAGGTCTTTAGGACGATGTATGTACGATTCTAAGTCCTAGTAGTCTTGCCTGGTATCTCAAGCTATGAAACAGTAAACCGGGGCTTTCCACCTGAGTCACAAGCGACGAATGCACTAATCACTAATCACTAATAGCGTAGAAGTACAAGCGTGGTGTTAACGTAGTTGAAGCGTTTCTCACGTCAAGAAAAGCGCGGAGATTTCAGTCGTCATCAACAACATGCACAAAGAATCTCGTGAGAAGTTTTGAACGTTACTCAAAAACCTATCGGCTGAATAATAAACCTGCGCCATGTTGTAACATGACACTTTGTGTAAACTTAGCCTTTTGTAAGAACGAGTCCGTCACCGAAAGAATATCTAATGAAGAAATCAAAGAATCCTGCATAAGGCCTTTCAAAGTGAACATCACATTTCTTCTTGGGGACATAAAATCGTTCATTGCAATGCCTTAACGTTTTATCAGCTCCTGGTCCCAAGGCCATAGTGCAAACAACAAACATGTTTTTACCTTCAAGTTGGTGTTCGTTGCCATACTGATCCCCGTTGAACTTTATTAGAAGACGTCAATCAGAATTTCTACAAGAAGAGCAGAAAGGACCTGTTCATTCTTATCCAGGTCCTTTGGGCGAAATATATACGATTCTAAGTCCTTGTAGTCTTGCTTGGTAGCTCAAGCTAAGGAATCAGTAAACTGTAGGGTGTAGGTCAACAGGTTCTTGGGGCGGGGCTTTCCACCTGAGTCACAAGCGACGAATGCAGTAGGGGCTGTACTAACCACTAATAGCGTAGAAGTACAAGCGTGGTGTTAACGTAGTTGAAGCGTTTCTCACGTCAAGAAAAGCGCGGAGATTTCAGTCGTCATCGACAAATTGCACAAAGCAGCTCGTGAGAAGTTTTGAACGTTACGTTACTCAAACACGTATCGGCTGAATAAGAAACCTGCGCCATGTTGTAACATTGCACTGTGTAAACTTAACCTTTTGTAAGAACGAGTCCGTGACCGAAAGAATTATCCAATGAAGAACTCAAAGAATCCTGCATAAGGCCTTTCAAAGTGAACATCACATTTCTTCTTGGGGACATAAAATCGTTCATTGCAATGCCTTAACGTTTTATCAGCTCCTGGTCCCAAGGCCATAGTGCAAACAACAAACATGTTTTTACCTTCAAGTTGGTGTTCGTTGCCATGCTGATCCCAACTTAGAAGACGTCAATCAGAATTTCTACAAGAAGAGCAGAAATGATCTGTCCATTCTTTTCCACTGGGTCCTTAGGACGATAAATGTACGATTCTACGTCCGTGTACTCTTGCTTGCTAGCTCTAGCTATGGAAACAGTAAACAGTAGTATATAGGTCTACCCACAGGTTAATGGGGTTTTCCACCTGAGTCATCAGCGACGAATGCACTGGGGGCTGTACTAATCACTAATAGCGTATAAGTAGATGCGTGGTGTTTTAAAACGTAGTTGAAGCGTTTCTCACGTCAACTTGAAAAACGCGGGATTTCAGTCATCACCGCCAAATTGCACAAAGCAGCTCGTGAGAAGTTTTGAACGTTACTCAAACACGTATCGGCTGAATAAGAACCCCGCGCCATGTTGTAACATGACACTTTGTGTAAACTTAACCTTTTGTAAGAACGAGTCCGTCCGTGACCGAAAGAATTATCCAATGAAGAAATCGAAGAATCCTGTACAAGACCTTCCAAAGTGAACATCACACTTCTTTCTCCTTTAGTCTAGGACTTCTGGGGTATATAAAATCGTTCATTGCAATGCCTTACCGCTTTATCAGCTCCTGGGCCAAATGCCATAGTGCAAACATCAAACAAAAGATGTTTCTTTACCTTGGTGTTCGTTGCCATGCTGGCCCGAACTTAGATTAGAAGACTCAGAAGCAGTTGCAACAAAATCAGCAGTAATCATCTGTTTCTTTTCCTTTCCATGTCCATACGATAATTCTACGTCCTAGTGGTCTTGCTTGGTTGCTCAAGAAATCAGTAATCTGTAGCATGTAGGTCGACCCACAGGTTAATGGGCCGGGGTTTTCCACCTGAGTCATCAGCGACGAATGCAGTAGGGGCTGTACTAACCACTAATAGCGTAGAAGTACAAGCGTGGTGTTAACGTAGTTGAAGCGTTTCTCACGTCAAGGAAAACGCAGGATTTCAGTCGTCATCAACAAATTACACAAAGAAGCTTGTGAGAAGTTTTGAACGTTATTCAAAAACCTATCGGCTGAATAAGAAACCTGCGCCATGTTGTAACATTACACTTTGTGTAAACTTAGGCTTTTGTAAGAACGAGTCCGTGACCGAAAAAAATCATTGAATAAAGAAATCAAAGAATCCTGCACAAGGGCTTCCAAAGTCAACATCATACTTCTCTCCCCTTTAATCTATGGATTCTGGGGAATATAAAATCGTTCATTGCGTTTCAGTATCAGCTCCTAGACCCAAGGCCAGGTCTTAGTGCAAACAACAAACATGTTTCTTTACCTCGGTGTTCGCTGCCATACTGGCCCCAACTTGGAAGACTCAGAAGACGTCAATCAACTGCTACAAAATCAGCTGAAATGATCTGTCCAGTCCTTTCCAGGTCCTTTTGATGATTCTACGTCCTAGCAGTGTTGCTTGGTTGCTCAAGGAAACAGCAAACTGTAGCCTGTAGGTTGGCGCACAGGTTCATGGGGCTTTCCACCTGAGTCATGATCACAAGCGACGGGTACAGTAGGGGCTACACTAATCACCTCTATGGAGCTGGCTGAACTCAATGGCGTTAGCTCTATAGTGGCTATTTTATTACAGCCCTGCGCCAGGTATTTGCTAGCTAAACTGGAGCTAGCTCGATGCAGTATCGACATACATGTATACACGTGGTTCACGTCACCTTGAAAAAAATAGAACTACTTGGAGTAGCTTTTCAGAATAATAAACAGGTTTGGGGTGCCGCGCACTATAAATGTGTAACTAGAGTAGATTTAAACTGGTCCCCCAGGCAAATACTAGTCACCACGTAGGTTTGAATATGACATAAAAATAACTAAAAGGCTTATGCAAATCAATGAATTGACAACTTTTCGATGTTTATTCAAACGGTGACTTGTTTAATAATGACAACACGGTATATGGGGCTTGGCAGTACTCTCCAAGCAGAGGTTGGTGGGGGAAGATCGTCACCGTTTTATATATGCCTCGTTTTTTTTTTGGGTGGGGGGCGACAAAAAAAAAACGAGGCATATATAAAACGGTGACGATCTTCCCCCAACAACCTCTGCTTGGAGAGTTGCTTGGCAGTAAATGAAAAGGCCCTACAGAGTGTATGCAGGTACCAGTTGGATAAGAGGCGTCAATTTTCTATTCATCAAGGGGGGGATGCTATAACCGGCTGGTACCTCTGACAGACTGAACAGCTATATAACAGTGTTTTATAGTAGGTCAAGCAAAGCTGTTTATGCTGCTTTTTCGATAGCGATTTGGTGCAATGAGGTTCCACCACAGCTCACGTTCTAATCAACCACACCGGAAGTGTGTAACGTTAGAAGTCAAAGACACGGGGGCACGTTACAAATTACTTTATTTTTCCCTCAAAATTTCCACATACCAAATTTCCCCGCCAATAAAACAACCGTACAAGCGGAAGTGTCAACGTAGCTGAAGCGTTACTGACGTCACAGTACTGATTGAATGGATTTTAAGAAGAAACGTAACATTTCCTTCTTGGCGTTCTTGGTATCGCCCAGTCTGCGGGACGAACCCTACCTGCGGCGGGGTTTCCCCACCTGAACTGGCAGGGAACAGGTGCTCACGCACTCGCCTTGTTGTGACGACAGAGGAAGTTGATAAGACGTGGGGAAAATATTTGCACAAGCTATGGGGAAGTCCTTCGCATTGTTAACTGAGGTCGACCCCAATTCATGGGGAGAATAATTGGCCAGGGGAGTATAGCCGCCGTGGAATTAATTTGCCCTCTCAAGGACGGAGTTGACCTGGGTGCCATTCACTCTGTAATGGGGCGCCTTGTAGCCTCTACCAGGCTTCGGGAGGCGGCTGGAAAGTGTAGAAATCGGCCAAATAGAGAGATAGCATGCCAAGGGAATTGGTATGCTGGAGATAACAGTTTGCCGCGGCAAAATGTACTTTCTAGCGGACCAACTCCCACGGCATGTTATCTTTCTATTTGGCCGATTTCTACTTTCCACTCGCCTCCCGAAGCCTGGTAGAGACTAGGCTCCTTGCACTTGCTAACCAGAGCCCAAAATGGATGGCTAGGACGTAGGCTAGAACCCCCGATAGGAAGGCCTGGTCGAGGCTATTTCACAAGTCTAGTCACAGTTTATTGCACAAAAGTTACAACATACGGCAACGCATTGCGTAAGACAACTAGCTTATTACAATCTTGTACAATATTGATAAAAGACAGTGTACAGTACAAGGCAGGGAGTTGTGTAATGCTGACACATGTACCTATGTACTCTACTAGAACAATCTTGGTGAAACCAACGAAGATGTCATGTATCAAACACGTTGTTCCCCAAAAACAATTCTTCCCGCTTTTTTTCCTGGTGTTTCCTTTTCTGAGAAAAGTTGTTGTCCGGGATGCTATGTATGCATGTCCGTCACCCACGCATGACCCTACATGACCCTTACTCTCCAAGCAGAGGTTGTGGGGGAATGATCATTACGTTTTAACTTTATATATGGCCCTTTTTTTGTCGCTACCGCCATCAACCATCGGTGGCCGGCGACCTTCTCTGGCTAATGGATACTGTCTGGCCAATTTGATACTGTCTTTTTGCCACCGAAAGGGATCTGCTTGGAGATTACGTGACCCTGGCCAACTGTACCGATCGTATAGCCCGGCCCAGCTGCGTCAAAACGAAGAAATTACACTCTTTCATTGGTCGAACTGCTAACTGCTATACTATCATAGGTTATTAAACTGCTTATTGTGATTGATAGTTGGGTTTGATAAATGCACACTTTAGATCTTGCTTTCACACTGTTATTCTAATCTCCAAGCAGATCCCTTTTGGTGGCAAAAAGACAGTATCAAATTGGCCAGGCAGTATCCATTAGCCGGCCACCAACGTTGGTGGGGGTAGCAACAAAAAAATACATATATATATAAAATGATAACGATCATTCCCCCACAACCTCGGCTTAGAGAGTATGTTATTCTAGATACAATGCACATGCCCGGTGAGGAACAATGCAGCTGATTTAATGCTAACACACTCCACACGCGTGACGTGAATACATAGGTAAACATTCCGGGGAAAACGTCAAAGGAAGAAAGTATCGTCATGAAATGAGAGCTTTGTAGCACATGTTTGCCACACAGGGTTAAGTACAGGTCACAGCGTAACGTGTACACTGTTGATAAACGCAGGGCGGGGTACTTTAGCTATTGAATGAATTTTAATTTTTCTTTTCCTCGCTTTCAAGTTATAGTAGGAATGAAGGATATGTTTTGCAATGATCTTGTCGCATTAGAAATATCTACAGTACGTATACGGAAGCCCAGGGGAATGATATTATACATAAAATGGTTAAATCGCTGAATTGTTAAATTTTCCTGGCTGCCCTTTTTGTGTCAAAGGAAACATATATACAGCAATTTGACACAAACACTTTTAAATCAAAAGGGTGTGACTCATCATTTGACCCCCTTTAAACATCTGCTTGAAGATTGGTACTAGTACTAGTAATATTTGGGGGAAGCACAGACAAGACTTGGCACGTGTTTTGGCAAGCTCACGCGCTGCTAACAACCACGCCACTTGCCCTGTACTGGGAAATCCCCGCTCCGGAAGTGAGGAAAGTTACCAAAAATATTAACTTCAAAGGGATGCTCCCAGTCTAGGATTGCCCCCTAAATCTATGACTCAAAAAAAGGGGGCTTACCACAGACATCATGTGACCGACATGACTAAGAAGAAGTAGGATGGTTGACATACGATCCCTTCTTCTCGTGTCACACAACAACAAAAGAAATACTGGACTTCTTACATAGGATACGTGGTTCTATGCAGAATCACTGAGTCATAAGATCCCCATGCAGATGTTGTGGCCGGTGGGCCATTGCAAAGTTTTCTGTCCTTTTAGCCGAAGACTGTAAAAAAAATCAATTATCCGCTCCTTGTCTTCAACAGACTCCTTTAAAGGCTGAATAAATAGTCAAAAATCGGCCTAAAAAGGTCATACTCCAGGGACGTTAGCCGGCCATATATTTATGCATAATAAAACGAATTCAAAATTGTCCTACTTGATATACTGGCCGGCCAGCTCTCCTCGCCAAATACATGTATATAGTATTACCCATTTTAGACTTATTTCGACTATCTATTCAGCCTGAAAAGGGGTTCGGTGGAGGCTAGTAGACTCCAACATCTGCTTCGATATTGCGGTCGTGTCGTAATTTTTTCTTCCCTTGTTTGTTTGCACAATTATGCTGTTTTATGGGTGTGGGAAGGAGGGATATAAAGTCCCTCTGAATGCATCCCAGCCGGCAACCGCACGTTGTATGCCCCTTCTACTGTACACTGTTGATACAAACAGGGAAGGGACGTATCCAGATATCAATACGCAAACATTGTAGGGCACGGATCTTGATAACTTTATTTGCCACGTTAAGTATTACTATGTGGTTGGCTTCAAAGGGCAAGTCACTGTAAAAACTTGTGTTCCGTGTTCGTGATCAAGAAACAATAACTTTGATCAATTGTACTACAAGTTGTTTCGTTTACTTGTAGATTTACAAGAATTTTACAAACGGTTAGTAGAAGAATGCTTTAATATATGTTGTGGATAGTGAATGTCAAGTTAAAACCGACAAAACCACACTGTAATCTTCAGTGTTCAGTCGTAATATATTTTTAGAAAAACAATCAGCATGTCTTGAAGAACTTGAAGGAATAGAAAAAGAATACATAAAAAAATGTACGGTACCCTCCATCTTTTAGACAAACATCAAGCGCTGTTTTACGTTTTGTTCCATTTTTGTGACAAAAAGTCTCACCCTTCTAACGTACATTACAGGTGGTTGACGAGAAACACGAAACTGTTTTCCCCTGGCCGCGGCCTAGACCGGAAGTCGCGTCCACCCGGCGGAAGTTGAGGGCGGGGTTGTTTGGCGTTGCAATCTAACCCCGGGGCCAATTTCGGCGGGGAATCCCAACACACGTGCCTGCCAAGACACTGTGGTCAGCCGGCAAAAATAGCCGCTTGTCATCACCCTTCTTACGGGACTGCCACCACCTTTTCTAACAGTGTTTCCTCGACGTTTTGTATAAAAAGGCGAGGAGGATGGTATTCTCTCAGAACACCCTCTCTCACCGAAAGACTGGCCACACAGGAGTCTTCTTCTACTCTGCCGATCACACTACTGAGAGAGTTACCGTCTCACTTGTCACCGATACAAGTCATCCCCTCTCCGGACAAATCCAGCTCTCCTGTCTGCAAGAAAAAAGTCGTCATGGCGAGTTTTATCACGGTGAGTGCACACTAACAAATTTAAAGTCTCGGAGTTTTGTTTCAAACTCTCTCTTTGCGGGGTGTTTTTTTTTTAAAGGTTGTGTTTCAACTTTGAGGCATAATCTTACCACTTTTAAAGAATTTCGTAGTGGCAAAAATTGATTGGATAAGCATAGCTTATGGTGGTGACTGTGATCGCTTTTATTCGTACCACACAGTGTAAAAAGTTGGGGAGTATCAGTCGCATTGGAATTACATATGTCACGAGGTTCTGTGAAAAAGTGGTTGTTATCATGAATTTAGTACTTTTGATACACTGTATGGATTATTGCTACATTATATAATGTAAGTGTGAATACGTGTTACATGGATACGTGAGACGAAAAAGTAATATTTTCTCTCCGTGTGTTTGTCTACAGGTCCTGTTTTCCTTCCTGGCGCTAGGCGGCGCTCTGGTCAGCGGTAGCGTCATCCCCACTACGGCCGCTCCCGAGGCACGGTCGGGCTGCGGTGAACCCTCCGCCGCCCAGCTCAGCCAGCTCCTCTCCGACTGTACCTCGGCAAACAACCCCGAGACCAAGACCCTGTCTGCGGGATTGAACCCCTGCGAGACCGGCACCTGTGTGCAGCCCAGCGAGAACGACCTCTCTCAGCGCGCCTACTGTCCCTGGCAGGTCGTCATCGACTCCGACCCCAACCGGTTCCCGACTGAAATCAGCTACGCTCGGTGCCAGTCCATCTTTCCCGGTACATCGCCCGCAGATTACAACTATACTATGGTCTGTGACAGCGTCAGCTACACCAAGCCCGTGCTGGTACGAGAGGAGTGCGGCGGAGCAGACAACACCTACCGCTACAAGTGCGTGCACCTGACCGTACCCAACGCCTGTGTGGCCGCTATGCCTCAGTGAGTGTAAAGAACACAGCAGATATACCACATATCGTTGTTTCAGAACCACCAAACTATGTTTGGCTCTAAGGTAAGGTCCGTGTCGGACCAACGTAACTTCCGTTTTTGAACATATCTTATTTCTAGGTCACACAGTTTTGTAAGTTCGCTGTGTATTTTGCTTAGCCAAGATATAATGCTATAATTATATAGAAGCATCAGAATATGGTTAATGTATGGATAGGAATAATTTCATGTCCATGTTTAGAATATCAGAAGTGTCAGGCAAAGAAATAATTACTAGTATCTGATCATGCAAGTAGCAACGCTTCCTTTACTGCAGTGCTGTCTGTAAGATCAGCATAGGTGGCGCTTTTGGCAGTTTAAATCGCCGTGAAAATGACGTCGTCATTGACGTGTTGCAATAACGTATAAGGAAGATACTTTTACCGCTGCTTTCAATTCCAATGTGCTTATTGCTCCTTTTAAGGACAGATGCATAGAAATGGACATTTTGTACACTTAAGGACAGAAGTGTTTCCTCGTGATAGATATTGTTCCCATATTTCGACAACATTCGTAAGACTAACTTATTTATCAAAAGTCCCTGTCAAGGAGGTTTCCCTTTCTATCCTCCTTCCTTTCGTTAACTTTGTGCATATTGCGTCATGTAGGCGTGGCTATGAAATCACAGACACGTCCTGCCTAAAAATAGAAACGATTTCAAATTAATGAACAGGAAATGACGAGGGACAACTTCCGGTTTGTACATTTCCTCAGAGTCAAACAGTTCATATGCAAGTTCACGTATACACATCATAGTGTGTGTGTTTTAAAGTTAAGTCACAGTGACTACCAGGTTATAAATGTACTTTTGAAAAGGACATAAGTTAAATGTATATCTGTATACGGAACATATATGTATATTTTGTGAAAATGATATCTTACAAGAAAGTAACTTTATCTAATTTAAAACATTGTAAAGTGCGTCGACCAATCTAATGTGAGATTTTAATGCTGCTTGTTTTTATCTATCTATTTATTTATGAAACCTTAAAGTGAATTTGAACATGTTATTGTGGTTAACATTATTTCAGGAATTGTACACCTCATATATGTTTATTTATTATCTTAACTATATGAACATATTATTTATCTGGTTAAAGCTATATCTTCCTCCACTGCGGCTTGAATTGCACATATCAAGTAAAAGTATATACTTTGAATTCTTTCAAGATTTGTGAACCTTCAATGTTACTGTGTGACATTGAACCATGTGGTATTTTTATTCTAGGCTGTGCCTAATTAATATATTTATTTTCACAATGTGTGACAGAAAGATCCTAAATAAAATATGTTTACATAGAACTTTATTGTTTCACGAAGACATTTCATTTTAGAGACTGTTCTGGTACTTTGATTTCAATATCGAATCCACTTGGTACAACTGTTCTAACTGTGGTCCTATTCATGTGACCTATAAAGTAAAGATCAGTAACGAATGGATGGATGGATGGAGGGTGTGTTTTGTTGTTGGGTTGTTTGTTTGTTTGTTTGTTTGTTTGGTTGGTTGGTTGGTTGGTTGGTTGGTTGGTTGGTTGGTTGGTTGGTTGGTTGGTTGGTTGGTTGGTTGGTTGGTTCCACGTGACACAACAACCGTTCGTGATTGGACGAGCCACAAGCGGCTACATTCCTCAGACTGCTGCAGTGTAGCAGTGTGTACTGACGACCGTGTGGCAAAATTCCCCTCAGACGGCACGTCATCGGCTTGGGTCAAACAAGGCGCTAGTGCTTCTTACTTTCAAACTTTAAAAACGAGGTGACGAGCGTACGAAAATGGTGAGTCCTTTGTCATTTCTTCGTACCCGTAACGGTGTGAGGACAGGTACGAAATTTTTTAACGTTACGTATTGACTGAACAGTACATTTGAATGAACTATTATAAAGAGCGGCTAGTACTGCTATGATAGTGTGGACACACCCCCCCCCCCGTTGTGAATGTGTCTCAGTCCTCCTGACTTATGTTAAGGGTTGGAATTCTCTTACCTACGTTATCCCTACCTAGTTACATTCTTATTGTATGTTGTCGGTACAGTTTCGATGTGTATGTGTGCATGTATGTCTGTCTGTAAACACGATAACTCAATAAGCTTCAGGATTGCACTGAGATTTTGGTAGGTGGGTAATTCTTGTTGAGACCTCAACGAATAACTATATTTGGGGGGCCCTGGTGGCTCGTTTTGACTGTTACTGTGAGTCGTTAAAATTGACTCCGATCTGCGCTTTTTTTTATCTCTTAGGCAAGAGAAAACTTGACTATAATCAACAAACCTTCCATATTGAAAAAAATATTGGTTTCAAGAAAAATTGCAGCTGCCGACATGTCAACATCCTAAGAAATTTAAGTGTTGTAAAACCTATTCCATTCCGGTCTGCTTTATTTTTGTCAAACTTGCACACGAAAAGAAATTCTAGAACTGAAGAACCTCAGCATGTAGAACTGAGTCTGTGCGCCAGTGTGTGGTATTTGGGACGGCGGTGTTTGTCATCCCAGCAGGGTAGTTGACTCTGTGAAGGGCCTGTTTACTTACCACAGTGAAGTGACTGTTTGTTCTACTTCAGTATGAGTGCCCCCGCCGCCATTGAACGTGTGTGAATTGAAAGTTCTCCGGGCTCAAGGTCACATACTAACTAGTTCAAGTTTATTTACATAGGGAGAGAGGGAGAGACGTATCAGTTTGGAAAGTGCGTTCACATTTGTCGTAAGTTTATAAGATGGGCACTTTTTTTTATATTCCAACATTTCATGACTAGACACGGTGACAGCACACTCAAGTTAAATCAACATGTTTTATGCCGCCACCAACGCAGAGGACGAATACAGGACAAGACAATACACGGGAAAGTCGTGTTAAGTGCCTTTCCCAAGGGCACAAGATCGGTGGCATGTCAGGACTCGAACCCAGGACCTCTTGGTTCCGAGTCGAGCACGCTGCCGCTACGCCACACGACCCCACGGAATTCACTTTGTTTATTTCCAAACGCTGGCTAGTAATCTATCTTTTATAGGTTTGTTCTGGGGCAGCTAGGGTTCTCTGACGGCACATGTATTTACTATCACCCCTGCAGCCAACCAAATATGACGAGCGTTCGAATGAGCTCTCAAAGATGGAGTCCAACGGTTCTTCTTCCTCCCCTTCCCGGGGGGAGTGCCGGTGCATGATCAAAGAGCCGAGTCGGTATGACGGGAGGAAGACCATTGCTCAGTCCATGCTGGACCTGGCTCTGCTCACATCGAACGTCGCTCAACTCAAGTATCTGCTACAGGTATATGTAAGGCCGTGCTGATTAGATAATGTGGATGACGTTCTTGGCACCCCAAAACTGATGCAAGCGTGCGAAAAAAAAGTTCGGCAAAAACGTTGCCTTGTACTGTGAAATCTAAGTTGTCCGGAAGGTTGAACTAAAGTTAAGCTTCTTGGTTGACCAAATTTATGATTGAACGCAAGCATTGTATACAAATAATGAATTCTATATATTCTTTTAAATATCCTCTTCGTTGACTTGTGAAGATTTCGCTTAGATGTTGAAATGTCATATCAGAAAGGGTTTTTTTTTCAAACTTTCAGAGGGGGCCTGTCCCGGAACTAATAAAAGACTGTTGTTTCCTATTATCAAAAAAAAAAAACATGTGCCCTTTCCTTCCTCAGCATCCAGACGACCAGTTTTACGTTGTGCTGCTGTCATTCCTGGGCGTGTCCATTGGTATACAGCTGATCGTGGCCGCCATCTTGGGATACCTGTACACACAAAACATCGAGGCGGTATGCTAGCACTTTAGTCTTTACGTTTCAAATCGGAAAACTGTTGTTCCAAGGAGCGCTATTTAGTCAGGCGAGCTACCTCATTTCAGACGACTCTTAAAGGCATCCAATTTAAGTTAATGACGACAAAGCTGGATTTTCAGCGTCAATTTTCTGTATTTTGTTTTAAATGTAGTAAGTTGAATCAATCCTATCCTATAAAATTCTGATATTTTGCGATGTTGCTGACGGAAAACGGTTTTATCTATTTACGGGTGGTACCCAAAAATAAAGAGGCACCTCACGTAGCTTGTTTTGGGGCATTTTCAAACGCTTGAAGTTTGAAAGGATGACAAGAATGTGCTAAGAAATGGCAGCAAATGTCAATATTAGACAGATTTCTCCATCTAGAATAGTTTTTCGTTCTGCCGTCCTGAAACTGAGCTGGATGTATTTAATCTAACCATTTTTCTTGCTACAGGTAGAAGAACACAACAGTACGAAGTCGAGTCGAGCCCTACACTTCCTGAACAACGCCGTGACGGTCCTGATAGTTCTCATCACCGTCCTCAACGTCATCATCTCCGGCTTCGACATGAAACTGACAGAGCATCATAAGGGCGGAGAGAAACCTTGATCTGTATCCGTATCTGTATAGCCGGTATAGCCGCCCTTCGGCGTAACACACCAGCTTCTGTATCAGTATAGCCGGTATAGCCACCCCTCGGCGTAACACACCAGCTTCGCAGGCACGCGGTTCGGCGGCAGCTGGCTATATCACACCGACCGACTTGTTACACACAATCTTTGCATTTAATTGCAGGAGTTGTTTAAAGTTTTCTAGTGGTGATGCCCCAACTGTGCTTGTTCCACTGTACGATAGGTCTTGGGAAATACGAGTTTTTGAACACCTCGATTCTTGCTGTTGCGCAGGGACTTCGACTCTATCTGAAGCAGTCAACATTATGTTCTCTCGAGAAAAAGGAAGTCGGAGATTTCAACACTTTAGGTTTTTTGTAAATTTATCGGCGAAAGCAAAGAGATAGCTTTGCAGGCTGGCGATTTTATATGAAAAGAGAAAGAACTCTTAGATGTTATATCCTTTGTAAAGGCATGTAGTACAAGGCCGTGTAGGTCTCATAATGTGGAACATACATTTGTAAAGAACTCATGATTTGCTTATTCATCCTCATCATCATCTTTGGTTTAATGTAGAATAAAATTGGCATTACCGTGGAAAGACTTGCACCGACTTTTACTTATAGAAAGACTTGCACCGACTTTTACTTTTAGAAAGAATTGCACCGACTTTAACAATACAACAATATACGACTTCATTCGCGTAGAGAAAATGCAGTATGTACAATAGTCCGGGTGCCGGCTCAAGCAACTCAGTTTCATCAAGGACAACCACTTTATCAACACGGAAGTCAAAACCACCTTTTCAAGAAAACAGAAAGGTCCATTGGATCTCCGTCAACACGTACGTATGTCCTACGCAACTGGCTCATTTAGGATGATGACTTGAATGAATACTCTCAATCAAACATATAATCAAAGCCCATTGAGTCTTTATCAATATACGTCATCATCATCCAATTCTATTCAACTGTTTCCTGGAGGATGATAGAGAGAGAAATCCCCTCTGAGATGTTGTGTCCGGTCGAGCATGCCAAGTGAGGCGTTTCCGTTGTTGGGATACGTTTCTTAAGGTGGTTTGTGTTGTAAGGACATGTCGACAATGAGTTAGTTATGAACAAACATTCATCTGTCTATTTGTGATTTCTGGTTGTGTAGAAGCTCACTTAGCCTGGTCCTTACATGTGACGTGTTTCCGTTGTTTGGATACGTCTATTAAGTGGTTTGTTCTGTAAAGACAATGAGTTTGTTTTGGGTAAACATTCGTCAGTCTATAAGAGATTTCTGGTTGTGTAGACGATCACTTACTCTTGGGCCCTTCCGCTGACAGCATCTTCCAACGTTGCTGCAGAGTACTGTTTTGAGGCGGCATTTTTTCAACAACGCGGCAGGTGGGTAACACAGAACTAGTGATGTCTGCTTTCTGCTCTATAGATATCATTTGAGAACTTATGGTTAAGCCTCTGACACACATAGCTGGCTTCCCGAGCGCTAGCCGATCTCCCCAAACCATTGTTAGATCGGGAGCATGGTCGCGATCGGCTAGGTTGGCCATTGTTTAGCCAGGACGGCTACTAAATGTACCAATACTGTTCGGGTGCGCCAGCCGAATGTTTCAAAATGTTATGTGTGGGACGAGAGGTTTAGCCATGATTGGCTGGTGGTTGTTTGTGTTCGGGAGTAGGTCGGGCGCGGGTGGCAGTCAAATCTGACTCAAATTTAACTCAAATTCGATTCGTATACAGAGATTGGCTTGGCATTAATCTGGTCAGACTGCTCCCTGACTTAAGCTTGTGTTCGGGAGGAAAGATTATGATTTATGGTCCAGGTATTTTTTGTTTGTTTCTCGACCGACCCTACCAAAAGTCGGCCGACCCTACCTATTACATTACCCTTTTTTGGTCGACCGCTGACAAGGTATAGAATTTTCGATCTTCAAATATCTGAAACGCCATTTAGCGCATTATCAGCAGCGAATTTTTTTGTGGGTATTTATGGCGCCGTCGGTAAGGTATGAAGACGCTGCCAGCATTTTTTTGACCGCAATTTCACAAGAAAACGGGGGACTGGCCATTGAGGCAGCCCTGGTTAGTAGTAGTAGTTGTAGACGTAGCAGTAGTCATGGTAGTAGTAGAATAGTTTACTCCTCATTAACCACTTACTGGTTGCGGCCCTTGGGCCGAATTGTGGTTCTGATGTATTTCAGTACCACATATAGGCTGTATCGGAAATGCTACCTGGACGGATAGGCTGTCAGAAAACGCCATACATTTAGTAACACTCGAGACGCGACACGTAAAGAATACATGGCCAATATGCCCAAGCTGATGATACATTCAAACATTTCCTCTGATTTTTGGGCTCCACCACAGCAAATCTGTAATTTCCTTCGGGATTGAAGTATTTATTTATATTTGGGCGGCTCTGGTTTACTGGGATTAGTGAGTGGGCGGGGATTTGATTTCAGCTCATTGACAAGGTCAGTGCCTTGGGCGGTAGGATGTGGTTTGAGGTAACCATTAATGTGTATTGTGGCAAACCAAATCCAATCGGAAGTTTGAAATCTCCGCTTTCTTGTTTGTTTTGTGGCTGCAGACAGGACAGTCAGAATTGACGGACGGGGGAAGCTGGCCGAGAACTAAATCTTCGCCATGGCAACTGCCGGGGAGTACGTTCTCGTTGTCGTCAATGGAAGTAAGTTTAATATATTTTTTTAGCCTCAATGTGGGCTTCAGAAGCCACTGGAAAGAAAAGAAATTGGCCGAATTTTTTGTTAGTGTCGCTAGGGAAACTAGAGACACCATATTAGTCCTTAGCAATTTCTCTTACTGACGGTAAAAATTGTTCTGCCCTGCAGTCTCCATCGTGTTGACTGTTGTCGGTGGCCTCCTCACCATCATCACCATCTGCACTCGTCCCTCACTACGGAGACTCGTCAACGCGCCCCTAGTCAGTCTCAGCAGTGCAGATATCCTCTTTGCCATATTGTATACCCCCTTCTGGATGCAGCAGATCCTAAACCCCCATTGGGAGCCTCCTGCAGCACTTTGCTGGCTGATAGGCTATTTCTCTCCAGTGTTGTGGGGGGTGTCCGTAAGCCATATGTTGTGTATCGCTCTCCAAAGGTATTTCAAGATATGTACTAACAGCGCACGTCTAAAGTCCAGGCGAACGCTTGCGATCATGCTCTTTCTCACGTGGTTGGTGCCCGTTGTTTCATTTTTGCCTCTTTACGTCGGTGAGGAAGTAAAGGTGGATCCGAAGCTGAAAAGGTGCGCAATGGGTGGATCTGACAAGCTCTGGGCGAAAATTCCCCCGGTCGTTTTGAATTTCATAGTGTCGTACATTGCTGCCCTCGCCATTTACATCATTATTCAAAACCATGTGAGAAAGAGTAAGAAACGCGTCCGTGATAATACACAGCCGGGGGTTTCCAACCAAATGGCAGTGCAGAATTTGCCGGGGGAAGTCAACCCTTCCACGAGCTATAAAATGTTCACGGTGACAAAATCGTTAGGAACCATGAAGGGTGTAGAGTTGATGGGGGATAAAAATTCCTTATTAACTGACGATGGAGACGAACAGAAAGGAAATGGTCTCATAGAGTCAGGTAAACACAAAGGTACCATGATACTGGTTCAAGCGGCAGGTACAAATAAACAAGAAGAGGCCAAACAGTCCTTGCCAAGCTTAAGTGATGTGGAACGACCACATGTCCTCAATGAGCCAGATGTTAAACAGAAATACGCCATCCCATCTTCATCCATTTCAGTGTCAGACCACGCAGGCACAAACAAACGACAACAGCTTGCTTTCCCAGGCAGTAGTTCACCAAACTGTACTAGTGCTGCTGAAATGCAACTCACCAAAATGATGATGACTCTGTTTGCGGTGTTCACACTATGCTGTATGCCCGGGTTGATTATGGTGATTTTTCCAGTAAAGTTCCGGCCGAAGCCTTTACCGTCGGCCAGCTACTGGCGACATTAAACGGCGTTTTCAACCCGATCATATACGGCGTTATGAACAAAAATATTCGCCAGGGGTACAAGTACATCTGGGACCGCATGCTCAACTCCATAACGTGAGCTTCTTGTTTAAAGTTAAAACTTTTGTTCTAACATAACAATTGTCTAACACAAAAAATAATTTGGGGAGGTGGTCTAAAATTTACATGTAAACACTGATTATAAGTATTCTACCCCTATACAGAGGCAACAGACGATACCAAAAAACTGGAAAGTGGCTGGAAAGTTATATTCACTGGCATCATGAGATTTTCCCGCATACTTTTCTTGGCTGATCCCCTGTGTCCTTCGGCCAACCGACGAAATCGTAAAAGAACCTCCGGTCCGTTAATGACCCTATTGTTACGGTCCCTGTTGACGCGTGGAGTGGCGTGAAAGGAGCTGGCTCCTTTTGTTGTTACTTGATCACCAGAATGATCGTAACGTAGAAGGCCCACATAGTAAGAACTGGTTAGAAGCCCACATCATAAGAATAGAAAAGGAATAGAATAGTAGGATTTAAAAAAATTAAAAATGATAATAAAAAGTAGAATAATTATGATAATGACAACAATAAAATGATATATCATATAAATAGAAGCCTGTATTGTTAAGCGACGATAGTTCAGGCAATTTTCAGAACTGTGACTGTGAGCTCTAGAATTTCTGTCATCTCTCTTCGTCCAGCACTAAGTTAAATGCCATAGAGTTTAATATTAGTGTTTAGTCGTTTCTATTATAAAAAATACTCGCTTGTTTAATTAAATAGTATATACTAGCCTGATTATAAGTACTAATAGTTAAACAATTTGTTCATCAAGATATTGAATCTATCACACTATTCTGTATGGTTAGCCGTATTTTGTAATGTCACAATATTTATTCAGTCCTTACATTGCGATTGTAGTGATATGAAGTATTTCCAGTAAACCATTTTTGTACCTTTGCGGGGAGGCTTGATATGTGTAATCTGCAGCAAAATGAAAATCGAGGAATCGGAGATTTCATAGTTTCGGGATGTTCAGAGATTTCGATTTTTGTGAAAATATTGCTGGAAGGTATTGCGAAATTGTATTTGCGATTTTTTTGTATAGTACTGTGCATACATTAGATACATTTGAAATATGACGTACAAATTACATGTAGCTCTTTCATATTTCTCCAACAATGTATCACTTTTGGTCATGTCCTGTAGTGTTCAGTCATCAGACCTACATGTAATGTTACTCGTGAAGAATTCTAATAAATGTATAAATGTTTGTTATGGAAACATCTTTTTATCTTACATCCCTCAAGTGTGAAATTCTCATCGATTGGTATAGGGAGGTAGGAGTGACCTGAATTTGGTCAGACTTTCACACAAAGCAAATACTCTCTTGACACATATCATGTTGATTAGAACTTTATTTGCATGAAACAATGAAGCAATGCTCTCACAAAACCTCTGTCTATGATAAAGCCCTACATAAAGTAATTTAGATTAGGAACTCAGTAAGACGACAAATTGGTGGAGAAAAACGTATTTTGAGAGTGTTTGATCACATTGAAGGATTTTGCAACATTCAATATTCATGTCCTTCTAGGAAGGAGGTGTTTGATTGTCTGCACATTTCAATAGTAAGCCACAAGCTCTGATTTAAGCTGCAATATGTAACATTAGCACCTTACAAAAAGTACATTTTCGGGTCATTTATTTACAAACTTGACTCAACCCTACTTTGTTGCAAATAAGTGTCATTCAGGAAGTGGAGGTGCCAAAATATTATGCTTTACAACTAGAAACACAGCTGTCAGCCATGTTTGTTTACATTCACGCCAAATTTAAACGTCAAGATCTTGATCCCACTACAAAGCTAAATATTTGTCACATTCTTGGGATAAAAGATTTACTGCCAAAATATGGAAATGACAGCAGGATTTCACCCCCTGGTTCCTGGAAATCGGTCGGGAGATTCTTTTAATAGACATTACCTTAGAATACACAGCTTAAGTATTAAGGCCAGCAATCCAATACACTTATATCATCCAACCATACAAGGGCCATCATTGTGCATCATTGTCAGTAGCGGGGGAAGACAGTGATTGTGTTTTTGTTGATCACAACCAACTGTCCTCCCGGCCCCACTGCAACCCCTGTTGGGGATCGAGCACGGACGGCGATGTGGCGGACATATCTACCCCGGCCTGTGTACACCACCACGCGCTGGTTGCTAGAGTCAACCACCAAGATGTGACCGGAACTGTCCGCACAGATGCCTTGGGGACGATTCAGGTAGCCACCTCTCAGCCCCGGTCCTCCTAACTTCCTCACGTACTGCCCGGCGTTGTCATACACGTAGATGTGGTGGGTGTCGAAGTCGGAGACGAGGATGTTGCCTTCCCCGTCAACGGCGACGTGTATCGGCGCCTTCATCCGCTGCTGAGGACCGACTCCCCACACGACTTTCCCATCCGGCTGAAAGGCTTGCACACCACCACTGTAACCGTTAGACCAGGTGACATAAACGTGGTTGATGCGCAAGCCCACAGCCATCCCGCGGTGCACTCCCCTGGGCACGTTGTCAGGGAGGTCAAACTTGGCTTTGGAATGACCTTCCCTGTCCAACTGCACCAGGGAGTCAGGGCTGGCAGGGTACCCATTCATCAAGACCCACAGGTGACCATCTCTGTCGATGGACACATCAGATAGCTTCTTTGCCAGCCCTGGTGCACCCAGCTGGGGGAACTGGTACAGAAAGGCGCCTGCCATGCCGTACACTTGGAGACGGGTTTTAGTCTGATCAGCCACCCAGATCTTGTTGTCGGGGGAAACCGCGACTCCGCGTGCGCTGCGGAGTTTTCCAGCCCCCGACTCATCGCCAAAGGTGATGGTATGTGCACTGCCGCCAGACACTTCTGTAACAATAAAAAAATGGTACTCGATCTGTCAAAAGTTCCTGTTAGGAGGGCGAGATCAGTCTTTGGAACATGCATAGGTATTAACTGCCCTCCTAGTTACGGGAAGTAAGGAGAGAGTAGAAAGACTGAAAAGCGCAAGCTGAAAAGACTTTCATGAAGTTGTTAGACCATAGGATATGAGATTTCTTTTCACACAACCAGTAATGAAAGAAATTCAACCCCAGTGGTGAACCGGGACGTGGGGGATGAAATAGCCACGTTAGGGATTGTGTTCTCGTCGCAAAAGCGCCACCTACATCGACTACATACATGTATAGCGTCGAGAAACAGTACTCCAGTCACAAGCTCTGAGGAAGGTAACTGATATATACATCATAACGTAAGTTGACCACATTACTTGTTGTGAAAAAGAAGACTTTACATCCTAGAAAGTAAATTTTGTACAAGGTATCTCCTGGTAATTTAATGGGATAACAGGGGTGCCATTGCATTAATTTACCACATGACAGGGGCTTAAGTAATGACAAACCTTCAGTGTCCACGGAAAGTGGCCCGGTGGCTGGTGTAGGTCCTGCTGGCTCCACTTTCGCAGGGCCTGCGGCAGGAGGGCCATGTCCACGGGCCGGACCCACCTGTGTGACGGTTATTCACAAAATTTCAAATCGTGGACACATCAAGGTTGTTTAAATTGCATGTCAACGTCCACAATAACTAACTGCATATGAACGTATGTATCTGTGGTGTAACGGGTAGGTTGTAAATTGTATCTTCATTTCTGTCTAAGGAAGGATATCGACTGATTTTAACACTTGAGTGTCTTTTGTCCTACTCTGACCTAATGTGTAACCAATAGCGGCTACATATAGCGGCGAGAAGCAAAACTCCAGTCAGAAGCTCTGAGGAAGGTGTCTGAAAGACACCGAAACGTAAGCACTCTAGGGGAGATAATTGGTTGTTTAAATGAGAACTCCTGTATCCTTTACTTTACCATTGAACAAGACAAAATAGTTGTATTGGCCAAAATTCATGAACGCTACACTATTTATGACATTGGCCTCAAGCATATTAGCGATATTTCTGTATTACGGCTTTACGAGCATGGTCGTAACGATGCTACATGGGTGCTATGTCAGTAAAGGAACTGCAATTTTACAGAAGACTAACCAGACAGCTACTGACCATGATGACGTCAGCCGACGTCACAGCCCTGGGCCCGGCTGGCCAGGCGGTATCGCCAGTGTCCGTTCCACGTTTGTTGGTCACGGGCTACAAACAGAAATTAAAAATATTTTGTTAGATTACGAAATACTTTACAGTATTCAATTTAAAACTATAGTAATGGCAAAAGACAACGTTTTCAAAAACCTATCTCCTTCTGACTGGCTATGCCATGTTTTTTAGATGACTTGCAGTTTTGTCTTATTACATTTTAAGTAATATAATATCAGCTTGACTCAAGGTCACGTCTACATTCACAGCCTGCCATTATTTTGAGGTGAGTTGCATTTTTTTCTTTAATAGTAGTAAAGTTTACGTTCTATGACAGCTTGAACCAAGAAGGTCACATGATTTATTATGCATACACAACGTGCCATTAATTTTTGTCACAAAGAGAATTTTCACATTCATTTGTTTATTTATTTTTTAGTTCGGCTTACAACAGCCAGTTACCCAACTAGTCATGGACTATTATTAAGGGTCAACCCTGGGAGATAACAAAATCGTTAGGTATACATGCAGATACAATTAATAAGATACACAATGAAATTTACAATTATATATACATACGTTGGATCGTACAATTATATAGATTATCATAAATACATTAAAAAGAATTGTTGTAAGCTTTCATTTTAATTCAATTGTAACATGACAATACACTGGCCACCCAGGCAGCATGGCTGATTTCGGGTGCCAAACAATACAAAGATTAAACATACACAATATAACATTTGTAAGATGTTTGAAGAAGTAAACTCACAGAGTGATGGAGCTGCGGCAGGGAGCCGGAGTGCAGCAGGATGACGTGCACAGGGACCGAGATCGCCAGCGTTACCATGACAACGGACGCCATGATGATGATGATGGTGAGACCTCGGCCTTGGAACCAATGACGTAGCTGGTCCCAGATGGCGTCTCCTTCCCCCGCGGCGGCTACAAAATATGTTGTAATTGCCATGTATTTATGTTTTGTAAATATGTCATGTGTGTCTTGAAGGACCACAGGAAGAATAGCTACATTTGTTGTAAGCTAAGTGTGGATCCCAATAAAGTCAGTCAGTAAGTCAGTAAGCCATTTTTCCATGCGAACCACGTTTCAGATTTTTAAACCCAATTCAAATTGCTGGCAATATAAAAACGAATGCAATCTACCGTGATATTTATAGTGAAACAGAGGATTTTTTTTATAAACGCATCATTAAAGATTCATTTGTTAGGAATTCAATCATGTAACCTGTACCGTAAGCTTGTTACATTTTGTTTGACCCTGACCTCTTCCCTCGCGACCTCAGTGAAAAGCTGAGCCAGCCGGCAGATTGGAGCATTTCATGAATAATCAAAGCCTCAATAAAGACAAGCCAGCTAGCTTGCCAGATATTGTATCCAGAAAGTTGATGCTGCCTATCCCGCGAGGAATTCGCTTGGAGCTTACTTTAAAAGGTTGATAAACTAACTAAGTAGGCGTTGTACTGTACATGTAGCTTACATTTCAGGTAGTATAGAGAAATTTACATTCCTCACAGCCTTCGATAAACCAACTCTAACCAATCATGCACCCTTCTACATTTATACAATTACCAAGAAATTAGAGGAAGTCGAAAGTACTTGACGTCTATACTAGACTAGACATTTATACACATTGTATATGATTGTCAACATGTGAACCTGTGCTTAGTTCAGTGGTGCAAAATGTACTCTACTCTACTACCTGGAGGCTGGTTCGGGCTGTTCGTCTGATCACCAGCTGACCCGCCGTGCCCTCGGGCAGGCCCCGGGGCCGAGGGACCGGTCGATGCGTCCCGGTTCCGAGGTTGTCTGGGACCCTGCCTGGACGCGTCACCACCTCCACCCGCCTGTGCGTCAGGATCCGTCCCCGTCTCGTCCTGCTGTCCGGTACCGTCGGGTGGGTGGAGAGTCACGAACCTAAAGTCTACCAGATATAACAACATCCGTCAATAGTTTCATCAGGTTGGTAAGTCACTTAATAAAGAGATTATTAATTGTAACCTTGACGGTTTGAATCTGGCACGTTTGAACGATTGAGAATCGCTAGATGTCGCTGCTGTCCCGTTTAAATGCGTCACTGGGAAAAATCAGCACTGGATCATTTCGGTGACAACGTCCGTTCCAGTTCATGCCGTTTGTTCATGCCTGTGTATGTGTGTGTCCGCTGGTACTCTGTGCGCGCGCGCGGGCGTGTATGTGTGTGTGTGTGTGTGTGTGTGTGTGTGTGTGTGTGTGCGTGCGTGCGTGCGTGCGTGCGTGCGTGTGTACCTTCCAAATGTTATACCAAAAAAGATATCGTCTGCAATGCAGGGCAAAACTCGGATTAAGTTAACATTCTTGCTCTTAGCCAACGTTGACTAAACATGCAACGTAACAAAAAAAAAAGGAAAAATCCGGGTTTCGCACAGGCTAGGCGCAGTGCGTTCTGCCGACGTGCTCACAGACTACTAGTACTAGTATGTTATATATAGTAAACAGAATACGAGCGTATACCGACGGCACCCGAAGATTAGCGAGCGCCGAATACTGACTTCCGAACACTTCGGCCGCGCTAGGAATAAGCGTAGATACCTGGGAAGTGCCATTTCAAATGCTATTCTGCTAATACCACGATAAAAAAACATTTTGATTGCATTTATTATTTAGGAGTTACTAAGTAGCGAAAATTTGTTAAAATTTCTTCGTTGTTTCGGTTTCTGCGTCGAGTGGTATAAGGCACGTATTTCTAACCAATCCCACCTACTCTCAAACAAAATATCATAACGAACCATATAAACACACACGAAATTGGTATAGTTCAACAAAAACACTCAATGGTTTTGTACCTAAATATTGATGACCAATATTTCGTCGCTAAATGCACGTTTTTAACTGTCGTCTTGCTCAGCTGAAAGCGCAATAGATATATGTTCACACATTTTAAATCAAGGTAAATCAAGTGAGAGCAATTTTTTTATCGCTGTGGTCTTACTGTATGTCTTGTCCATGTGAAAAGACCTGAACAACGAAACATTGATTACTTGTTGTATCCAACCCTGTGCTTTATGCTGTGCCCAGGCACGGTTCTGGATAAAAAAAATCCACCTGTATCCAGAACCGCGCCTGGGCACCTGGGGCAAATCTGCGTTCTTGGATACGCGGAGACCATCCAGAACCCTGCCTGACCCTAACACTAATCCATTACATTAGGACATAGAAAGGTAGAAGCTAGAAAGGTACGGTTCTGTATACAGTAGTGCCATAATGTTTGAACTCACCTGATATCACATCAGCGTCATAAGTCGGGTTGTTGATAGGGGGTGGCGGCCGGGATCGGTTCTGCATCCCTGCCGGTCGTGTAGACTCCCGCGGGGCAGCCCGACTTGCTGGTGCCCCGCCGGGTTTCGCTGGACCGTCTGACGGAGTATTATTCGCCATCTCTTGCCGCACCAAACCTGGTGATATCGCCGCTGGGCTCTACACGAGCACGCCGATAACACTTTAATTGTCTGGAGATTGGTATGGTATTTCACATGTAACACCCGCTCAAAACACTCTCGGAATTTTCTCATTTAGAGTACACCAGCAGCGCTTCATGCATATGAAACTGCTCCGAACCAACATTGTATTGTTTTGCACAGTGCAGACTGTACCATAGTGATTTGTAGCGTAGAGTTCATTTTATTAGTTACCAATGTTTTTTGGGAGGAGGCATAAGGATAGAACCAGGGATAGGGGGTCTCATTGATGTGTTATTCGGGGACAGTGATAACAGTGTTGGTGGTGTGTCATTCAGCACCAGGGACAGGGACAATAGTCATGTTGGTGTGTTGTTCAGAACCAAGGATAGGGACACCAGTCTTGTTGGTGTGTCATTCGGCATAAGAGGCACCAGTCTTGTTGGTGTGTCATTCGGCATAAGAGGCACCAGTCTTGTTGGTGTGTCATTCGGCATCAGAGGCACCAGTCTTGTTGGTGTGTCATTCAGGGACACCAGTCTTGTTGAAAATAGACCGGGACAGGGTTAAAGATTCCGATTGGTTTCAAAGGGGTGTCCGGAAGGCAATCCAGATCCGCCGACAACTCAGTACCTTAATCAGGGACAGGGGGCGTCACTACCTGAAACCTGTATATGGCTGTCTCTTGTCACGTGATTATCACATCAAGTCACGTGACAAGAGAACTCCAAGACGAGATCAACTCGGTAAACTACCCTGGTCAACTCGGTCAACTCGGTCAACTCGGTCCACTACCCTGGTCAACTCGGTCAACTCGGTCAACTCGGTCCACTACCCTGGTCAACTCGATCAACTCGGTCCACTACCCTGGTCAACTCGGTCAACTCGGTCAACTCGATCAACTCGGTCAACTACCCTGGTCAACTCGGTCAACTCGGTCAACTCGGTCAACTCGATCAACTCGATCAACTCGGTCAACTCGGTCAACTCGATCAACTCGGTCAACTCGGTCCATACCCTGGTCAACTCGATCAACTCGGTCCACTACCCTGGTCAACTCGGTCAACTCGGTCAACTCGGTCAACTCGGTCAACTCGGTCATTTCGGTCAACTCGATTCAACTCGGTCAACTCGGTCAACTCGGTCAACTCGGTCAACTCGGTCAACTCGGTCCACTACCTGGTCAACTCGATCAACTCGGTCAACTCGATCAACTCGGTCAACTCGGTCCACTACCCTGGTCAACTCGATCAACTCGGTCCACTACCCTGGTCAACTCGGTCAACTCGGTCAACTCGATCAACTCGGTCAACTCGGTCAACTCGGTCAACTCGATCAACTCGGTCAACTCGGTCAACTCGGTCAACTCGATCAACTCGGTCCACTACCCTGGTCAACTCGGTCAACTCGATCAACTCGGTCAACTCGGTCAACTCGATCAACTCGGTCAACTACCCTGGTCAGCTCGGTCAACTCGGTCAACTCGGTCAACTCGGTCAACTCGGTCAACTCGATCAACTCGGTCAACTCGGTCAACTCGGTCAACTCGGTCAACTCGATCAACTCGGTCAACTACCCTGGTCAACTCGGTAAACTCGGTCAACTCGATCAACTCGGTCAACTCGGTCAACTCGGTCCACTACCCTGGTCAACTCGGTCAACTCGGTCAACTACCCTGGTCAACTCGGTCAACTCGGTCCACTCGGTC